TCATCTATTAGTGATAGGTAATATCGTTCTTCACCTATGCCTTCATTGTATGGACCCCAAAAGTCCATATATACTCGTTGAAGCGGTCTCTTTGCTCTAGGAACTGGAACATGGCTCTGATTTTTCACTTGTTTTGCTTTGATGCACACTTCGCAATTACTTTCAAGCAGTTTATCCTGTTTGCCAATTTTCAATTGGTCCAAGTTCAAGGCTTCAACACAGACGTTGAAACGTCTCTTTCCGGGGTGTCCAAGTCGTTGATGAATGAGTTGCTGACGTTGGTCGATCTCATTTTCAGTTTCAGCTCTAGCGGCTCGTCCACTAAGCAGTTGAATTACTGACTGCACATCTGGCTTTGTGATGAACTCAGCGCACTTTCTTGCTTGCTCTGGCTTCACATACAGAGCGTTTGCGTGCGTAACTCTATCCAGATAGGTTGATCGTCCAATTCGTCGTCCTTTGGCAACTACTTTGCCATCCTTCAGTATTGTATAACCCCATTTCGTTCCTCTTGACTCGAATCCAACAACATGGAGCGCTTCTAATGACAATAGATTCTCTGCCAAGCCTGGTACATATATGGTGTTACTCAATCGGACCATTGACCCATTTGGCAGGGTGAATTTCACTGTTCCTCTTCCCTCAATGGGTATTTGAATTCCATCTGCAACAGTCAGAGTTCCGCGGCTCCTCTGGTCCAACTTCTCAAAGACATCTTTGTTGCCGGTTGACATGCTTGTGGCTCCGCTGTCAAAACACCATACTGATGGGTTGCTGCTGCTTGCGTGGTTTGCCTTATCACTCGTAAATCGACCCACTTCCGATTTCTCTATCGCGTACGAGCTAAATTCATCCAGCTCTTCTTGATTGGCATCATTATTGTTATTTCGCTCTCCGACAAATCGCCCCTTTTGCTTTGTCAATTTTCCTTGTCGACCTTCTTGTCGACCTTTGGATTTTTGATGATCCTCATCGTCATCACTCTCATGCTTGTTCTGACATTCCCTCGCGAAATGCCCTGCCTTCCCGCAGACATAGCATTTTGATCCACTTTTCTTCCTTCTCTTGCCATCTTTGTGAACCCTTGATCCTTTCTCACCTGCAGATCCTCCTTTCATCTGCATGAGATCCTCGACCCGGCTCAGGACATATTCCTTATCTAAAGTGGCGTTTGAACTCATCACTGTATCCCTCAAGGTAGTATACTGACTGCCCAATCCTCGCAGATACCAGATCACAATCAACTCCCTGATATTCACCATCTCGCTATTGTTCATGTCGATGAATTCCTCTCCCAGTTGATTGATTTCACGGAATGCTTCCTTCTCGTTCATTCTCGTATTATCCCAAGTCCAACTGGACATCTTCATCAACTTCATAGCCTTTCTGGTGTTTGATGACTTCAAGAACATCTCCTTTAGGCGATCCCATTTTAACCCGGCAGTCTCTTGATCTTTTATCTCCAGAATGGTTGCTGGTGAAAGGCCTTGCTGGACAATCATATTCGCCTTCAGATTAATCTTAAACCAGTCCATATCCTCCTTCAAGATCTTATTGAACTCTGCCCTTCCTACCTCATGGTAGTACTCAATCGCCTCCCAGGCAAACTGGGTCTTCAACTGGTCCTCCATCATATGAAACCAGTATCTAGCGTTCTCCTCATTCAGCCTATCAATCGGAAATTGGTATATCTTGATTCCATTCTCTTTTGTTGGCTTCCTACCATTCCTCCCTTGCCCTGCCCTAGGCCTCTGCGCCGTTGATTGCGGCATGGGGTTCTCCGCGATATCTGATTCTTCTGTCATTGTAGCGTTCTCACGACTCAATAAACTTCGCCGAGCGGATTACTGGCCGATAATCTCGTGGGAAGATAATCGAGGGTGAGGCTCGCAGTTGGGATCAATCGATCGGTCTATAGACGATGTTAAGCGACTATAGAGCCCCCGGGGTACCAAAGCGTTTGTTAAGACGTCAGTATGGTAGGCCCGGGCTCATAACCAATGAAACGGATAAACCAATAAGGCGGTTAACTCCGAGTCGGGGAAGTCGGGGAGTCGATTATCCGGACTGCACGAGGCTATATATGAAGAAGAAACTTAGATTATACGGAGGGTGACAATGATATCTATAGACACCGTAGATGGTAGAATGAGTGCTTGGCTATCTAAACGAGTGTGTGTGTCCGTATATGAGGGATCTGCCGGCCTCGGTAATCGGACAAACTATTGATCCACCTCGACTTTCATCACATCAGAACCCTGATCACGTGGCTCTATGAAGTAGTCATGTCATTAAATCACCTCAAAAAAAAATTTAGATATACCCCCCAGAACAATTCTTTTACCTCCCCAAGATGCCTAAATGCGGCTTCCTTCAGTGCCCAAACGAGATAATCTTTCAAATCGGCAGCTATCTAGGACTGAAACATATATACGCCCTATTACAAACATCGCACGACTTGCATGATGCTCTGCGTAATCTGTTCTATGATCGCGTAGCTGATTACTGCAGGGCTGATGAACTTACCATGCTGGAATGGGCCGCACAGGAGGGCTACCTGAATGTGATCCGGGAACTACAATCACGAGGACGAGAAAAAACCGTTATGTGCGGATCGAAGGATGTAGCCATATGCCTAGCTGCAGCCAACGGCCACTTATCTTGCATTGAGCCCTTAATCGCCATGGGTGCAGAGGTATCGCAGTACCCTTATAACCACCATGTTCAACGCTATTCACCATTAATGTGGGCTGCCAAAAACGGTAACCTAGCGATGGTGAAACTTCTTATCTCCAAAGGCGCAAGGACAGATACTAGGAGTCCTCAATACTTGACGGCCCTGGAATATGCGCTAATATATCACCATGGTTCATGTGTGAGATATATCCTTGAAAAGAGCTCAGGAGCCGAGCTCTCAACTTACTTGAACAGAGCGGCGAGGTCAAATCATCTAAGTTTCGTACAGCAGCTGCTTGATAAAGGAGCAGATATAGATGCCAAAGACGAGCAGGATGGGAAAACTGTTGTGCAGTATGCAGTACTGAGTTATAACTGCAAGTGTCTACGAATACTCTTCGCATACGGTGAGCGCCATAGACCGGAGATCCTGTTGCATATCTCGATAATAAACGGAGATGAAGGTATCCTGCGGCGCGCATTGCACCTCGGGGCCAATCCATTGGAAACTAAATACGCTGGAAATACAGCGTATCAAGAGGCAGTTATAAATAGGCAACGCGGGATTCTAAGAGCATTACTTAAATACTCTGTTGAGCACCACGCGACTAACAAAAACATCGCCCTATACTACGCAGCACATGTGGGGGATGATGAGATTGTTCGGTTACTGCTAGCCAAGGGAGCCAACGCTTCCGCACCAGATAAAGCAGGATTCAGACCTTTGCACTATGCTGTAGGGGCCTGGTCGAAGCATTTCGATGACCGCTATTATCTGATTGAGAACCGTTTAAGAATAATCAGAATGCTCCTGGAGAAAGGCGCTCGGGTCTCGGATGCCAATCACCGTGGGTATACTGCACTGAAATACGCAAAGTCTTGGAGCTGTACGAGAATCATAAGGCTTTTGGAGCAGAAAGAGGATGAAGAGTCATATGTTTCTTGATGACTGTGCCAGTGTTCTTGTAAAACAGCTCGCTTCTGAAAATGCACTCGTATTCGTGGGATAAAATATAGCTAATTACTGGCTTAATATACGTTATTTTGTCTTGCTCACCTCTGCTACTGATCCAATACTCTGCTCAAAGTAAAAGAATAAACCTGTAGTGCCAACCTTCCTGCTCACCATTTGTGTGTCTGTATAATAATTCCCTTTCCTTTTTTTATTCCTTGATTCCGACTCATAGGTTGTATAAAGATATACTAACGTGAAATAACGAAAGGATTGGTCTGGTTGCTGCCTGTCATACGTTCTCACCATTTATCCAGTTAACACAAACCCTCCGACAATTCAATACCATCGAGGAGACAATGCAAGTCGTACGCATGTTGCCAAATTCGCCATAAAGGCAGCTGGCGCCGTTATTTTCCAAAACATCTAGACTAGAACCTACGACAACAACAGAACCGATATGCTACCTACTCCGGTGTCCCAACGAGATAATTATTGAAATCGCCAGCTACCTCAAACTGAGGCATGTGTATACCTTCCTGAGCACATCGCATAGCTTGTAGGCAACTCCCCATATCCCATTCTGCAATCGCGCATACAGTCACTGGAGGAATTCATACTACGACACAAAATCCTCTTTCTAATTCAAACTGATCTCTATCTTGGAACGGGTTGCAAAGAAAGGCCAGCAAATATAATATAAGAGCTTCAGGCTCGAGATGAGCAGGCTTTGACGTGTTAAATGAAGAATATCGCCCTAGATCATAATGCTGCTATGGGCCATCCATCCTGTGTCAATGTAATGTTGGCTATGGGTGCAGATGTGTCTCTGCCAGTTTCTAGTCAACACTTAAATTACACACTGCTACAGCGTGTGGCATTAGTGGTTCTCAAGGACAAGGAAAATGTGCTTCAGGCTAGTATGGAGGTCATTGAGCAGCTATTGGAAAAAGGAGCTCGGGTCTCAGATAATAATAATGATCGTGGATATACTGCGCTTGAATGTGTGACAGGTTCATGTCATAAGAATGTTGTGTCTTTCCCGAGGCCAAAGCAGGAAGAGGTTCATGTTTAATGGCTATTCAGGCAAGACATCCTTTTCAATGATACGGTCGATGTTTCTGTTATAAATTGGGATTATCGAATGTATCTTGTGATATGAGATCTGATCACTTAGTTCATACTTTGGCTTAACGACTGCGTCCAGACCATCATTAACCAACGTATTAAACAAAATACATGCTAGTAAATTCATAACGTTATAGCCCTAGTCCAGCCAGCACACTACAAAGTATACTTAAACAACGGCGACCTATCTCCCAAATCCAACAACTCCTCTTCACTATACATCCCCCTGACCTCCTCCTCTGCCAACCTCCCCTTCCTCCGATTTGCCCAAACATAACTCATCTCCAACAACAGCACCAAGATCAACGACGTTCCCCCAAAGGCCAAACTCAACCCAAACCCCGTATAATACGCCGGCGCCTCGGAATCCAAATACATAAAACTCCCGATAATACCACCCGAATTACCAATGCAGATGTTAAGCGCAACTCCAATAGCCCGTCGGTTTGCGGGGGCTAAATTATTCGCCGTCCAAGATGTTGTGGCTGGGTGGGTCGGGTAGATGCCGATGCAGGTTAGGATGACGGCGAAGAAGGCCGGGCCGATATTCTGTTCCAGGGCGCCATGGAAGGAGATTATTATGCTGTAGCCAATGGCGATTATGGTAACTGGGATGGCAACGAAGGGCATGCGCCAGTAGAAGCGGTCGGAGAGGATAGAGAAACAGATTGCGGAGATGGCGCCGGCAACATAGGGCGGGACGGTCATTAGTTGGGCATTTGTACTGCTAAAGCCCATTGCTTTTGTGATGGTTGGGAGAGTGAATTTTGTTCCTGCTGCCATTAGTCCCTGCACGTCGCATATCGATAAAGAGAGTTGGGGATGGTACCGTAAGAACAAGCAGACTGACACAGCAGCACATAAGCCTGAATATACAACCGCCAATTACTCAAAACAGCCCACAAATCCTTCCACCGGAACTTCTTCTGCAAATTATCTTCCTTCAATACACCGCCTTCCTTGATAAACCGCTGCACCTCCAGAAACCGAATCTCATCTGCATCCAACCATTTCGACCGCCGCGGCGAGTCAATCAACAGGAAGAACGACACCACGCCCAGAACAACAGTAGCCAGGCCCTCAATAATGAAAATCCAACGCCAGCCCGCGTATCCACCCACGCCATTCATCTTCGCAATTGCTGCGGCGAGGAGGCCTGAGAACGCGCCGGATAGGGCACTGGCGCAGTAGAAGAAGGCGAGGCGCGAGGAGAGAATTTTCGGCATGTACCAGAATGTGCAGAGGTAGACGGCACCGGGAAAGAAGCCGGCTCTGTTCTTATTAGTATCTGTGTCTTGTAGGATGAACAAAAACATACTCGAAAATACCCAGCAACACACGAACAACCAGCAAGCCTGCATAACCCTGCACAACCCCGGTAAGGGTCATAATAATACCCCAACAGGTAATCAGAATACCCAGGTAAATCGATGGCCGGGTGAAGTTTTTCAGGAGCATATTACTCGGTACCTCTGCATTGTATCCATCATCAGCCTGCATTCGTATACTGCAATGAAAATGTAAATTTACCCAGCAGAATATAAGGAATAAAGAAAATAGCCAACGCAGTATTATACTGAATCCCACTCAGACCCAAATCATCCAACATCCCCTCGATCTTCGCATTCCCGATATTCGCTCTGTCAAGGTGCGAGATGAGGTATAGTACGGCTAGCATAGGAACTAATCGGACATCGACCTGCGCACGTTAGCACCCCAAAATAGAAGAGCTAAGGAGAATGTGTACCTTCCGAATAACCCTCTTCCTCCTCTCCTCCGAAAACCCCATATAAAAACTCGCATCATTTGGATCCAGCCCCAGCACTTGGAAATTGTCAATGGTGATGATATTCGAGACTTTTTCCTGCTGGATGGGATCGGAAAATTTCTCGTCTCGCTCGTCGAAGATCTCTTCTTTGCCCATAGTGTCTGCTGGGTGTTGTGGCTTGGCGCATATCCCCGGCTGAGGCAAATGCAGAGAGACTGGGGCTTTATATATATGAATGTCATCCCGGAGACAAGCTAGCGGAAATGTAATAATGTATGCTATGCACCTGACCCCCAAAAGTCAATCCAGTGCAATCCGATATGACTCGACACCTACCCTCGCACGAGTGGGATGTACAGATCTACACGACCGAAATCACTACAAGCGCATAAACCACCCACGCCCTCGTCTCAAGTATCCATATCCATGTCCGTGCGAAACGCGGGGAAATAAGCATAAGCAGTTAGTTAGACTTGGATATAGGCTGTCATGTAATGAGCGGATATTACTGACTACTATACGAGTATGTACTAGGTAATGCCAAGGGGTCCACCGTGCGAAGCCTTTACATGGCAGCGGGGGATTTCTGGGGCCCCGGATTATCGCGGGGAAGTGGAATTGGTCTTCTTGTCGGTTGTTGCGTGAGAAATGGAGTCAGGGTGTTAACAGTGTCCTGTCCGGAATAGTATGGGGGATAAGGGCAGTGGAAATGATTCCTATGCTTCGGAAAACAAAACAGCCTTGATGACGTGGATCAAAGACCAGCTCCCGTCTGCTACTATCTAATGTACTTTCCCAGAATCCGCCTGTCTCGTATCGAGTGTCATATCCGCTCTCATTTCCGGATGCGTGTACTACTTATCCGACTGGACTGTGGAAATCCGACATTGATATTCGGGATATCCAGGAGATGATCGCAAAAGCAAAACATGTACATCACGGGGTGATATTCATTCTTCAAGGCGCAAAATGCATCAGAACATATACGTACAATATCCAATACCTACTAACCTATCCATATGTCACGCCAACATCACGGATCGCACCATCGCAGAGCAGACATCTAGACCAATCATGACAGGTTTACTCCCGTTCATGAGTAGCCCGCTCATACCAAGTCTGCACCTCATCGACTTCCACCTCCTTATCCCCATCATCACTATGAGACTTCGCTGCCAGTCGTTTCGCGACTTCGTTCGCCTCATACAAAGTAACCAGCTTCCTCTTCTGACCACCAGTCTGCGTCCGTTGACGACATAACTCGCAAATAACCCGCTCCACATATTGAGCTTCCTTCTTCTTAACAAAATACTCGGGCTGCTGCTCTAACACTTCTCTGTACGGAGCGTCTTCGTCATTCCACGATGAGGGTGTCTCAGGCGGGATGTGCGGCGGACCTTCGGTCGCTTTGTGAACCCATTTATCAACTGCCATTTCGAACGGTGTAGTGCCCGTGGCGCTCTCGCGATGCAAGAGATCCGCGCGACGGTCGATCATGAGTTCCAATGCTTGCGGTAGCTCGCCCTTGACGGCGTTGTGAATGGGCGTGTTGCCGGCACCATCGAGCATCTCGAGGTGCTTCTGGCCGGTCGACTGAGCGAGATCCAGGATTATACGCAGCACAGCCGTTTTGCCGTCTGTTTCTATGCTGTTGGATTGGTAGGAATCGAATTCATACGCTCGGAGAATCCAGCGAGAAAGCGGGGTCAGCGATCCTGGCTGCTCTGAAGACCGTTCCATGAGCAGTGATGGGATAAGACGAGAGTCGAGCAGTGCGAGTAACGACTCCAAGTTGTCGGGTTTGTCTCGAGCTTCACCGTTCTTATCGCACAATAACAAGTGGATAAGATTGTTTCCGCTGCGATCACGGGTTGTCTGGTCTGCTCCAGCTTCTATCAGGATCTTCGCATAGCTCGTCCGGTGCAAGGAGAATGCAAGCGCTAAAGGCGTATACCCCTCCAGAGACTTGGTCTCCAAACAGCCCGGGTACTGCTTCGCGAGGTGTTCGACCAATCGCTCAGATTCCTCGCTTGGCTTGGAAAGAACAGCACAATGCAGCGACAATCCACCTAAGGTCACGGGTTAGCAATAATCATATCACAAAAGACAAGCCACTTACTCCTCGACTTAAGCCAATTCATCAAAGCCCCCTCAACACCCTTCGCAGACTTCTCCAGATGCTTCAAGCGCTTGTCATGCTCGTACGTCTTCGTGAAAGCAATGTATTGCTGCCCCGGCTCCTTGCCCAGGAACCACTTGGTAGAATCAAGCTTTCCGTAAGACGCAGCAATCAGGAGCGGCGAGCTCTTGCTCTTCTCTGGTCGTCCCTGTCGTTCGGCCCTAGCCCAATCCGCGCGCTTCTTTCCGCGGATTGTAAGTCCCTGATAATAGTCAGGCCTCTCTGCCACCTTCACACCACTCTTCTGGACAAACTCATCGATCGGCATGCCTGCTCCAGTTCGCTTAATCAGTTCTTCAAGGCAGCGCAAACGGCTCAAGCCGATGGCCATGACGAAAACACGCTCAGGGACGGTGTAGATCGTAGAGTCTTCCCCCGTGTCCTGGCTGGTGAGCTCCTGTCCTAGTTCAAGTAGGAACACCAACAAAGGAACATTGTCGGTCCAGACTGCATAATCGACCAAATGTTGGGGAATACGCGATGCATCACCACCTATGCGCCAATTAAAGAAGTAGTCTTGGAGGACGGACACGATTCCAGATTGAACTTCATATCGTTCCGAGTCGGTTATGGCGTCGTTCTCGATGAATAACCGAGCAGAGCACCCCCATTGAAGGACTTCGAGAGGCTTGATAGGGCATTCCACCTGCGTGGCCACCTCCCCTATGTTGTCGACAGTGAATTGATCATCAACAATCTCACTGTAGATACGAGGCTGGTCGGTATCATAGTCCGCTGTGTATCTCTTTTGTCCTTTTTGTTCCTTTGGCTTATACTGAGCCTGGACAATTTCGAGGATTGCCTTTGCCACGCTCAGATGTCCGCGTAACACTGCAATGGAGAAGGGCGAGAACCAGTGCCGGTCAGTGACGGCAATCTGAAGGGGTGCCTCTTCGTTGTTGAGACCCCACGTGGCGAGAGTAAGGGCTTTGATAGTTGCCAAGTCTCCGTTCCACGCTGCGTTGTACCTGTTCAGATCGTTAGCTATGCATTTCAGCAGCAAAAATGACAGTAAAGCACTTGCAATTCAAGGTAACCCTTCCTCTTGGCATCCGTCAGATCCGGCACATTAAACTTGTAAGTGACCTTGAACTTATCCTTTTTCAGCGGTTCATCTTCCTTCTCTTCCTCCCCATCTTCCTTTGGCGTCTTGATATCAGGATACAGTTCCGCAAACGTCTTTGCACCCTTCTCTAGCAAGACAGCCTCCAACCTCTGAAATTCTTTAGCAAGGTCTTTGGCCACTGTCAACTTACGATCCACTCCTTTGCAGTTTCGTGCTTCGTTTACTGAATCTTCGTGGTTCTTTAGAGCCTTCTCGTATTCCTGCCTGGCCTCCTTCACTTGCTGCCGAGCAGTAAGCATTGCATAAGTTCCTTCCTCGATGCCGTCGAGGTAAACCTTGTCATCAGTCTCGAGTGGGCGTGGCGGCGACGAAGCGCACTTTTCACCCTTGTACGCTTGGAGACTTCTGATCTTCTCACGAACATAGTCAAGCAAAGATGAGCCTTTCTTGTAATCGCGCACATCCTCATCATCAACCACGGAACATCCATCAGCAGTCAGCGGATTGGGATCCACACCGCGCTCTAGAAGATCGATAACAAGCTCTGGCAACTCCTTTTTGACAGCCAAGATGATGGGCTGAGCCACACTGTAACGGAAGATGTTTTGGTTCTCCTCTGATGAGTTCGATTGGATCCCATCGAACACGGCCTTGGCGGATCTCACAAAATGGCTGAATTCAAGCGTCGGTTCGGCGCCGGCTTCGAGCATTTTGATTGCTCCAATGGCATTCTTTGCGTTGATGGCAGCGGCAAACGCAGAGTAAGGCTCAGGATTCCAGGAATGCCCGGCAAATGCAAGATAATCGATGGCGCGCTTAACTGCTGGTTCATCATGGTGATGATAGAGGTCCAGGAGCTCCGAGTAATTGGAAGCGGCAAGATAATGCAGTGGCGTATTGTGGTTGAGGTCAGCCTGGGCAGGCGAGGCGCCCAGCTGCAGAAGCTTCTGGGTCATTGCCTTGGCCTTTTCCAGCGGTAGCTGCAGCGCCAGGACTAACGTGAGAATCGCAGCCGTAGGCGTGTTTTCAGAACTCAGCACCTTGATAGGTAGTAGAACATCGGCACCAAACGACGAAACCAGTTCCTCGACAACGTCGACATGACCATTGAGGATGGCGAGATGGAGAGGTGAGGTGTGGCTATCCCAGGACAGCACGTTGACATCGTAAATATCGGGCTCGAGTTCGTTTTCGGTTCCATCAAAAACGTCGCCAGATTCCGGTGTTTCGACTTTGACAAATGACTCGGAAGTGCGAGAACTGCCACCATCGTTGCTAACAATATCAATATCATCATCGTCTTCTTCAGACTGGTCCGTGGGCTTTTCCTTCTCTTCCCTTCCTTGAGCCGGCTCGCTCTTGCGAAGATCTTCTTTCTTCGATTCTTGCTCTTCGTTCTGCTCGCTCTTCGTGAGGAAGACCCGGACAATGTCCACATTGCCTCTGGCGGCCGCGAAGTGCAGCGCAGTCCGGCCATCGGCCACACGCGAGATCATTCGGGCACCATTGTCAACCAGACACTGCACGATCTCTGGAGTGGAAGTCAAGGATGCCAGATGTAGAGGCGTTCTGCCAGTGTAGTCACGGGTGTTCGGGTCGGCTGAGTCTCGTGACAACCATTCCTTCACAGCCGCGAGGTCGTGATTGACGATCGCTTGACACAACTGCTCCGTGTTTCCAATGTACGCCATTTCTAGTATATATTAGTTGCATAGCAGGTTGCAGGGATTTCAAGAATTACTCACCTGTCCAGTCGGTATCTGTGATGGGATTGAAACTACCAATCTCCTGACGGCCAGGATCATCCTTGATGAACGAGACATCACCAGAGATGTATATCTTGTTCTCTTCCTCAGCGACCTCCTTTTCTTCATCTGTGACGGGCTCAGGACAGTAGCCGCAGCAATCATGTATCACGTCCTCAACGTCACCGAAAAAGGCGGGGTGACGATGAAGCCACACCGTCCTGTCTTTCGGTCTGTTCCACTCCGCGTTGAGCAGCAAGTCCTTGGTAAACAAGAGTCTTTCGATTCGCTTGGCATGATATCTCGGTCCGTAGGGAATGGACTTGTAGACGAATTAGTGAACCGGCCGGTGTATTAGCACTGGGAAACTCACAAAGTGATTGTAGTCGGAGATCTCATCCTCTTCCTGCCACTCAGGAGCTTCATCGTCCCAGTCATCTTTGATGTTACCGGGAAGCTGCTTCATCCTTTGGGCGTATCTATTGGCAAGTGGCCGGCCACGCTCCGCCCGTCTCTGCATGAGATAATTCTCCCGGTCTTCAGATTTTGGAAGCTTTTCCAGCACTAGTAAGCGTGCAAGACCAACTGTCCTCGAGAAGCTTCTTTCGAAGATTGTCTAGCAGAGTCAGCAAAGGAACGGAGTTGAGGAAAATAAGGAAGAAGCATACCGGGTCAATTCTGGAGCGATCCAGCGACGGCCAGAACACTTCGAATCCGCGGTGCGAATACTTCGAAAGACGATTCTCATAAGAAGGCGAGCGCCTAGTCATATCAATCTGATTGATCTGCGTAATATACGAAACCAACGCACGGGGCGAGGCATAGACCTGCTTGCCATCATATGCAGCACAGGAGCAGTCAACGTCAAAGCCGGTCAAGACCTCCGCGACCGACTTATAAATCCGAAGCACAATCTGGATATGACGAGTCGGATATTGAGACACAATGGTAATCGTATTCTTCGTCCTGACGGTGGTGGTCTCGTAAAGAATCGTATTCTTAATCCTCGACTCGATGTGGTTGATCTTCTGGACGGCCTCCTCATCCGTCAAACCATACAAGAACAGATCCACATCCGACGCCGGAGCAAATTTCTCGTGGTAAAACTGTCTCAGCGCACGCTTCGAGCCACGATGTTTGTCCGGCACGGGTAAAAGAGACGTCACCACAGCACTCCCAGCGACAACCACATTGCTCCAATCCAGATCACTCAAGGCTCCTTCAGAGAAAATTGTGAAGTTCTTCTGGAACTCTTCGAGGGTCGGAACCACGGCGGGGGAACCGGTGGGTCTCCGATCCTTGTTCTTCAGGGGCAGCAGGTACTGGTCCCTGAGCGCCTGGGGCTCTGCAGCCAGGTTCCGCGCTCGAACCTGGACATTGTTCAATCCTGTTGATTCGTCGTAGAGAGGGACGAGGTTGAAATGGTTGTCTTTCAATGCGGGATGGGAGGGTTCCTGGGCGAACACTTTTCGCGCGACGGCATCGTATTCGTTGTATGGCTGGACTAGCTCTTCGACTGGCTTGTCCTGGTGCGATTGGACGTAGCTGACGAAGTCCTGGTGCTTTACAGGGACGTTTGGGAGATCGTACATAGTCGCGGGGTATGCTGTATAGCGAAAATGAACACTCAGATAGGCAATGTTCTTCTTGTAGCACACATCCAGATGCCCCGATTTTTAGATATTGGGGCTATGTTTGAAGTCAAGAGTCAAGAGAGCGAGGACAAGCTTTATATGTGGCTGAGTCTGATACTCTGAGCTGGGTGTGCATTTCCCGATTAGGCATAAGCCAGGCCACACACGGCAGAAACATCACCGCCGTAGGCAGAAAGGGCCAATTAAAGGCAGCAACCGCCCCAATGGAGAATTCCACGTGATGATCTCTCGATCGGGCGATCTGATGGGCCCAGTTATGTCTTGGCATTTCGTCATGGCGGGGAGTTCTTCAGCTAGCCTTTGATCTGCCGAAAAGGGTAATCATAGTGATTTAGTCTAAGGATGGTCTACTCCGGAGTATGTTCTATATACATGGTCTGCACATATGTACAGTAGTGTCGTGGTTAAGCCCTGGTCTTGGAGATACCGCTCTGGACTCCTTCACTAGGCCAATAACCCGCTTTGCGTGTATCAATATGTATCCATCCAACCTGTCTAGGTATCCTAGTCCACCCCAAACCTCATCTCGTAACGACAGTCAACATATTATAGGCGCCTTATGCAAAGCCCTCTCAGACGCAACATGCCGCAGCGTAGTCGAGAGCCTCTCATTCGCACAAATCTCCTTCTGAGCCCGACTCGCATTCTTCCGAGACAGCGTCTCCGATATCCACGTCCCTGTCTCAACCAGTCGCGAGAGATCAACACCAGTTTCAACACCCGCATTGTCGAACATATACACCAAGTCCTCAGTGGCGACGTTCCCCTTAGCCCCCGGTGCAAATGGACATCCTCCCAGGCCGCTTACACTGCTGTCGAACACGCGCATTCCGCACTGGTATGCTTGCCAAACATTGGAGGCGCCTTGGCCGTAGGTATCATGAAAATGTCCGGCTAGTTGGTCGATGGGGATGTCGTTCTCGACGAGGTAGGTCACTAGACTGTGGACTTTGGATGGGGTTCCCACGCCTAGTGTATCGCCCAGGCTGACTTCGTAGCATCCCATGCCTAATAACGCGCGTGCAGCGTGCAGCACCGCGGATGGCTCTGTCGGACCATCGTAAGGGTCGGCGAATATGCAGGAAACATATCCTCTCACAGCAATACCATACTGTGCAGCCTTTTCCGCAACACACCTCGCCCGTTGTATTCCCTCGCCCACAGAACAGTTAATGTTCGCCCTACTAAACCCCTCCGTGGCACTCACAAAAACTGCCACCTCTCTAACCCCGTATCGAATCGCGATATCAAGACCCTTCAGATTTGGTACGAGTACCGGAAACCGACGATCAGGATCCGCTTGTAGCCGTTTCACGCTCTGACCGCTCAGCACGTCCTGACAGTCCGATAACTGGGGTATCGCGCGCGGCGAGACGATCGATGTTAGTTCGATAGTGCGAAGACCTGTCCGTTCGAGCCGTTGGATTAGTTCAACCTTTGTAGCGGTTGTGATGGGTTCTTTGATGTTCTGAAGGCCGTCGCGGGGCCCGACTTCGACTATCCGGACTGCGCTGGCAGGCATGGCTTGTCATGGCATTATCGGATAGGAGGTGGGAACGATAGAAGATACTCTCATGTAATCTCGTATATATAAGGGTAATGATGTTTCAGCTGAGAATGAATCATCGCGGAGTTCTCGGAAGAACGGACCTCGGCATTTCCCGATCGGTTAAGTATAATGCCCCGGATGCGGTATTCATACTTATCAATACGTGACGTTCATTGATAAGACCGTCTGGTTGCATGTATGTATGGAACTTTACGTAGCAAACCATATCAAGGAAACAGTTACAATAGATAGCAGATTTATGGAAGTGCAAGGAGTGATATCATGTTTGCTCCAGCCCAACTAGATAGGGCTCGACTCACATAAACGGTGGCAAATGCAATATTCGGGAGCTAAAAGCCCTAAAGCAACCCGGATTGCATTTACCATGAACCCATCCTGGTCTGACCTTAGCAAGGTCAAATCTACATCTGACCCTCGCCAAGCTATCTCTGGCATATACCGAACCGAGCCTCGGGTATGCGGGACAAGGATATGTGAATAATCCAGTAAATAAGAACTCGCTATGTTTATTCGCTGCTATAGTACTGGGGGTATGATATGGCACATATCAAGAAGTATACGTAGAATCGGGTTCCCGCTCATCCTCACAGTCCATCATTCTCCATCTTGGCCAAATCGCCAATTACATGTACTACTCAGTTCACATACATATTCCTTTCCACTGCTACTATATAGCTCTGGGAGAAGTGTGGATCTCAGCAGCTGCAGTAACCCGAAAGTGTTTCTGAAGGTTCCTTCAATATGTCAATAGACCACGGCAGAACGATCGAGACGGTCAACACAACGTTCCAGCGGAGATGTCGGCCTCTAAACCGTGTTCTAAGGAGATATCAAACACACTCCTCGATTTGACGGTGAACGAGGGTTATCATTAATTTTCCCAGAGTTCTCTCATTCTTACCATCAACGCGACACTATGGATACCTCTCATCTAAAGCTTAGGACCTCTATATCCTCTCATTCCAGGCATCAACAACATCATAAAAAGGATGTGTTTCTGCTTGAGCCACCAAAAAAAAAAAAAAAAAAAAAAAAAAAAAAAAAAAAAAAAAAAAAAAAAAAGTCTTGATGGAATACACTTTGTCATGTTTGGTACTTCTTGCAGGAAACACCAAATAATACGCCAACCTCTATCGACAAAAGCAATTTGAGGCAATACATAAACTCATTGTTCAATCAAATAACCCGAGAAAGAAGTCCAATACGGGCAAACGGTATGAGTGAAATTGGCTGGGTTTTCGCATCGTCAATCATGTTGTGAAATTCACCATCCGCGACGTGCTTGATCAGGGATTCTATTCATGGGATCATGTCCTGTCACCTCAGCACTCTCATTGTACAAGCAGCTACTTGATGCCGAGCGGGAAAAATATTCCATTCTCATGAATGGCATGGCATGATGCAAAATTACCAACGAATAGTAGCTGGCCCTTCGCACTTTGTCGAATTCCGTAACCAAATCTCGTACAAACAAACCTCAACAAGGCGGTAAAAGGTCGAAAGCCCGGGATCAGGGCGCTTTGAAAACAAATGAATGGGAAGTGAGATGGCCATACTATAGTTCCGGAAAACGGTGTCACCACCTTTTACTCTTACTTTCCCCCCAAACCCTAATGCCAAGACGCGCTAAGCCACCCTGGGAGTTATTCCGGGCCACCCCTGTCCTGTTGTTGTAACGTATGGTATAGGAGCGAAACATGATCTTAGTTTGTGTACAATACCTGTCTCAAATATACGCCTGCCACCTCCACGTCCCACCTCCGTATTCCTTGATATCCTTGAATCCAAGCGCATAAAATATATCTTGCAATCGACAACTAGTGGCTCAATGCAGAATGGCACCCAATCTAGCTCAATCTACGCTCAATCTCATCCATGATATGATAAGCAGTGGTGAACTTACTACGTTCCAGATGGCTGAGGCTGCTGGCTGCAGCAAGCGCACGGTTATTAGAATTCGCTCCAACCTGCGCATGTACGGCAGTATCAGAGCACCCTCAATCCAAAAAGGACGGCCACAAAGTGTCACGCCAGTCATGATGGAAGCTCTCTGTGAACATCTACTTGAAAAATCAAATTTATACCTTCAAGAGATGCAACTTTTTTTGCTGGACGAATTCGACATACATGTACTAAAATCTACCATTAGCGATGCACTTCATCATAAAGGATGGTCGAAAAAGAAAGCCCACCAAAAAGCAAGAGAGAGAGATGAAGACTTACGTGATGAATATTGGCATGATATATCAGAATTCTCCTCATATCATCTTATTTATGTGGATGAATCGGGATGTGATAAACGTATTGGCTTTAGAAGAACAGGATGGTCCCTCTAGGTACTACGCCAGTCCAAGTGTCCAAATTTCATCGCGACCAGAGGTATCAGATACTTCCTGCATATACCCAGGACGGAGTTTTACTTTCCCGCGTCTTCCAAGGGCCAACTAATGCCTCTTTTTTCGAGGATTTTATTACGGAGCTTTTACAGCACTGTCAACTGCATCCAGGCCCAAAATCGGTTCTCATTATGGACAATGCCTCTTTTCATCGCTCAGAACGGATACAGCAGATGTGCTCTGAACACGGAGTCAAGCTGATGTATTTGCCGCCATACTCACCAGATCTTAATCCTATTGAAGAGTTCTTCGCTGAATTGAAAGCCTTTATCAAACGACACTGGCCATCGTATGAAAACAATCATGACCAAGGTTTTCGTACTTTTCTTGAATGGTGTGTTGACAAGGCTGGTGCAAGGGAACAAAGTGCGAAGGGACATTCTAGACACGCAGGTATAACAGTGGAAGAGTCATAGTATGGGTTCTGGGTGCGGGCTATTCATGTTCTGCTAGCCAAGGGCTCTTGTTACTTAGATTTCAAAGACCATTCAGCATTATTAATTGGTATTGTTACTTGAGTATCATGTATGCACAAGAATAAGTAGGATGAACGAAGTCCACGCAATTAAAACACAGCCAACGTGTTTAGCCAACCATCAAGTCTTAATCCCGTTATATATCCTAAATTCGTCGAGCCATCTGAGTTCACATCTACTTCTTCCATATCTCGAAGTATTTTCTCGATATATTCGCCCGCACCACTGAGTTTCATAATATGTGCAATGGCACAGTGGACGCCAAGAAGTCGATGATCGGGTGGATTGATGGTGCGGCTCGAACTCAGGTTTAGCGTTCGGGTGACGGGGAATAGTGGATCACGCAAAAAAGAATTATGCTCCAGCGAATCGATCCTATACTGATGTGGGCCCGTCCGTTCAACGCATACCTGGAATTCGCCAAATAGTCGATGATAATCAAGTGTTAGTGTGAGAGCATTCATAGGGCTATCAATCTTGGAGGCATCAAGACGGTGACTGATTCCAGGCTCGAACATGTCTAAAATGCGAAACACATTTTTCTTCGACTTGTTATAGGAACAAATTAGTATAGCAATTAGTTCTAGTCCATGCCAGACATACCAAGTCCGTTTCTCCAGGCGCCACGATTCTTGAAGGATGGGGAAGAATATGAGCAACTTCTAAGTACTAAAATCCGCCGCGTGCTTCATTTCTTAGGGGATTTTCATTATCGTCCTCACAGTCATCCCCATGCTGTTCGGCGCGTTTTCTGGCTTACACTATGTCGAATTTACGAGATATCACACACCGATGGCGATCACGAACGAGACAGCTTTGTCGCAGAATGGAAACACGCTGTCTCGTACCGGTTGGGGCGGGTGTTTGCATAGAGGACAACGATTTAGGCGTCGCTTGCGGTGTCTTAGCGGATGAGGCCCTGACTAGATAACGTCAGTTAGCAGTAGAACCTAAACAATTGAAAACGAAAAATCGATGTACGTGGAAGAAGAAAGTTATCAACAATATATTCAGCAAACTTCTCGACAGCTCCCTTGATATTGATCATTTTGCTTGGATCCTGGCTGGGATCCCCATGAAGTTGTCGACGTAAGATAAAGCGACAGGAATATCAGTGTCAACGTCAGGTTCGTTGGTATCATTGAAAATTTTATAGATGTACGAAAAAAAGAGCCTTAGAAGGTGTCTCGAGATGCAACACGATGATATGTTTCCTGAATAAGGATTGCAGGCTTGTAGCCCTTTTGTACGGTTTGTTCGAGGCCATAATGCCAGATAAGCTTATCAATAAGAGCCGTTGCCTTTTGATTCTGTGGTGGTGTTAAAAAGAACGAAGGTGAAAAGTCTAATACAGATTCTAAAGACGACTGATGTCGATGTTGAGCCATTATGTTTGTGATAAGAAGGGCATGAAACCAGGAGTTGGATTTGTATTATCACTGTCATGTCAGTCACATGCTGACGGAATTAATTTCGGTCCGAGGTCAGCTGCGAGCATGGCATTAACCAATCATTTCGTTCACCGGACTTGGTTTCTGTTAGTACCAGCGAGTGACGTGCCTGACCGCCCTCGCATATTGCCCGGCAGTTTATAGAGCTATCTTCGCCGATTGGCCATTCAGTGTAATCAACTACATTCGCCCACCTAAAGTTTTCCACTCAAAGCAAGCTGAATTGCCCAGCCAACCTCGAAATCGAATGTACACGGACACTACTGCCTTCTCATATACCAAGGTCCTGGTGTCAGTATGCCATTGAGGTGCTTTGAAGCTTTGTTTTATCATTCAGACCCGCGCTAATACAAAGAAATTTTCTACACCTCCCATAATCCATATCACTTGATAAGGTGATGGTGATGTAGGATTCGGAGAACCGGGAAGTCGATTATCCTAACTGCACGAGGCCAGTAGGCTAGATTACCCTCATTAGAACGAATGGAGCGATTATCTTCTTGACTATGCGTACACACGGGTGTGTGTGTGTCTCTTTAACGTCGAGAGTCGGGTCTTTCCATGCCTCCACAACTCCTTGGGAGCCTCGGAAGCGGAAAAGCCCTGGTCCCGGTGCGGGACATACGACGGGCAGATCGGAACTGCCTTTCTTCTCGCTAAACTACCATCTATCATCTAAATACAGGTAGCCCCCCGCGCGGGGGGCTGACAAGAAGTAATAGTAGTAGTTGCTATTTTACGTCAGAAGTTCAGTCACGTGTCAAGTAAGATCACGTGCCGTAGGGTCCCGAAACGGAACATATGACGGGTGGAGCGTAAAAACCGCCTATCTGGTAGCTAAGCTAAATCTATCATACACACTGGCGAAGACTCCCTCGCAGGAGCTTGCCCATAACTCGAGGGCCGCAAAGCGGGAGTACACATTCCGTGGCGAAAAGAGAAGAAAAGATATAGGGAAGAGAAGGGACGATTTTTGGGGGGGAGGAGGGGACTGAGGGGTTAATGTGTGCGACATGTTGAACTATGTGCAGTGTCTTAACAAACAAATATAAAATAGCAGAAACGTCATGTGACCGTGATTCATAGATTCAGGCTTCCTTTCAGTCTTTGTGGTACCTCCAGCTCCAGTTCCATCAACCCCAAATTTCGCTTCATACAAACTCCCACAAGCCGATCGATACACAGATCAAAGACAGAGAACCCCAAACCAGACACATCCAAAATGGCAGACCCAAACCCCAACTACCCCACCCCCTCAACCCCTATCCAAGCAATCGGCCTTCGCGAAATCTGTCAAGTAAACAACCACCACTTCCGCCGTCTACGAGGCACAGACACCTGGATCGAATACACTCCTCAACTCACCAGCACCAGCACTGCCCAAGAGTCAAAGTCAGTCCAATCCGAGAAAGAAAGTGTAAGCCCAATCTACCTCTCCATCTCCCTCGAATCTCAAACCCCCACCGAGCCAAACCACTGGTCCCTCTTCCTCGCTCGCGAAAATGCCCCGGGGAAATTATACCAAGTCACCGGTGACGCGGAGTCAATGGCCTACGAGCCCTCGGTTCAGGCTGTGGATATTACGCGGGCAGAGAACTTCTACACTTTGTACCAGTTGGTGGAGGTTTCGGAGGAGCAGGCCGGAATTGTAAGGGAGATTGCGGAGGGGGAGATGCCGCCGAAGGCGGAGAACCGGGCTGCTGTAAGAGAGAATTGTCAGGGGTGGTGTGTTAGGGTGTTGGGGAGGTTGGCGGGGAGGGGAATTGTGGGGAGGGAGAAGGTGGAGATGGCTAAGGGGTTGATGGAGCCGGTTTAGTTGTTTATGGAGGTCTTTTGCTCGGGATTAAGTGGATTTACAATTCGCTTAATCGATCATATTGCAGCTTGCTTGTGTGTATGCATAGATCGTATCATCATTATTCGTAAATACATAGTGCAACATTCTGTATAGAAAAGAGAGTACCTCCAAGTCATTGTAGCTCGGTGTTGTAGCCAAACAGCCGCGAATTCGAAAGTAGATGCGAGTGTATATTGTTAAACCAGAAAAAACCGGCGGGATGGAGTTCGATGCCGCGGATGATGCGAAGCAATTCGGAATCAAATTGGAACGTGATTACTAGAATAAACAAAGTCATGCTGTTCAGTCTGATTTGTTAGTAGTATCACCTATACATCCTTCTCGGAGCCACATATTCCATATCTGGTACTGGTACCGGAAAATATGCTGTAGGTGGTCCTTCATATGCCGCAGGTGGTCCTTGAGCAGGATACATCCGCACAGGAGCTTGCGGTGGCCAGGGACTGACTCCCGGGCCCGCAAACCGAGGACGTTCTGGAAGACTGCCACCACTGTAACGTCGTCTTGGATCTTCGATATTCGGGTCTGGAGCGTGAGGTGGCATGTAGCCAGGGTTTGCATATCGCGGATGGACGGGAACGAATGCGGGTGATTCAGGACTGGAGGGAACCGTTACTGGCTCTTCAGAAGCGTATTCGCGAAACCTGACCCCTGGGTGTTTGGGTGGGGTTATTTCCTCCTTGTATGCCCAATGGACTCTTGAGGGTGCGTTTGCGTCATGCCATCCGCCTGAATGTCTGTTGCTATGGTGAGGCGCATAGTGTTTAGGATACTCTGGGGAGATGTCTCGAGGGGGTTTTCTTGAATACGCATCATGTGAGTGTCGACGCGCACGGGATCCTCGATGAGGGGACAAATACCGACGATGGTACCGAGGTGATGGTTCTGGTGCTGGCGACTGAGGTTCAGAAGATACATCAGACGGGTAGTATCCTGGAATTGCTTCTGGAGCAACTGATTCGGGAATGCTTGATGCGCGCTGCCGGCGTCTGCTTTTAGCCGGTTGTTCTGGCCAGACCGGCGGCGACGGGGCTCGTGGTTTGATCTCTGGTGGCGGCGATAACCTCGGTGGCATCTTGTGCGAGGGCGGCGGTGGATGTTCTGCGCTGCTGCGTTTTCCATTTGGCATACGGGGTGGTGAATCATTTGCCTCAACATACCGATATTGCGGGACGGTCCGATGTTTGGTTCGAACAAGCGCTCTCTCCTCCTCTGGTTCCTCTTTTCGGACTGGGACTAAAGCTAATTGACTGGGAAGAAAGCGATTTTGATATTGTTCAGAGATTGGCGGCGGCGGCGGTTGTGGCACACTTCTTTTCAGGTAATCATACTCCAGTCGCCGGCTAACCTGCTCATGCCATTGGATCATTTCCATATCCGGTCCCGGGGGGAAAGAATCCCTAGGGAGGGACTTGGGAAAGTAACCCCCGAACGGGTTGCGAATGTCCCACATCCTGACGGCGTTTTGCAGGAAACGCACGTGTTCATTTGGGTCTAACAGGATCTGAATCGTTTGCCATCGCACGAAGCCACTCGGTAGCAGGGCCGGAAGGGACGGGGGCTCGAAGGCACTGGTAGATGGCTGGAGGCTGTGAAAGCACCCTAGCGACTGGTAGATAAACGAGAGGGCAGATGGCTTCGTTTCGAGAAACAAGGGATCATAATTGCCGCCGACTTTATGGTAGAAGGCTGCGAGTCGCTCTGGAGTGAGATCGGTGGTTCCGCAATCGTGGAAGCTGATCTGCGCATAAATTGTTGGTGAGAATTCGCTTCCATTGCAGAGACAAGCTTACCATCAACTCTGCAATGCCCAGACAGAGCTGCTCCAGCAATGGAGCCGGGCTCTTGTCGGCATTGATAAGCGGCCCCCAGAAGTAACGATCGTTGAACGACATGGCCGAGAGGAAATTGGGGCCACAACGAGATGCGGAGGGGTCATTTGAGGGCAGATATAGCTGATTCGCATTCACAGCAGCAATGCCATAGTCTGCGAATGCGAAAATTCGAAGAAAATATCACGCCGTCGCAGTTCGTGGGCACAAGGCAGAGGCGGGGCGGTCAGGCACACACTGCGGGGGCCCGATGACAGGATGACAGGCAGTGATAGTACGCTATGCGCTGTGGTGGATATAAAAAGAAATATATGGAGTACTAGGTAAATAATAGGCAAGGAGAAGAGTGCATTTTTATCCAAAGAGTAGAGAAAAAGGTGATGAGACACTTGACTACCCCTCTCATGTGACATGTCAGGTGACACCCCGCTCAGTTGCCTAATTGGTCACAAGTAAACACAATACTATCTCAGTACAAGTATACCAAGGTAGGTGGCTGTGACATCCATATTCCGCTCCTTGGCTAGGTAAGTGTTATAATATATCTACTGGTCTTTGTTCAAATTATCCCATGGTGTCCTTGCCTTTACTGACAGGTGCTTCCATCCCCGATTTTATCAAAATGGTGAGTGCTCATTGACACTTTCACAGGTGACAGGCCAAAGAAGCAGCTTTAGATTTCTAGTGAAATGCCCGGTTGAAACAAGCCAGCGTCAGAAGAGAAGAAATGATTACTCGATTGGTCTTTCTGGGGATTCTTGAAGTTGGCGTGTATACCCGTGCCTGTATCCTGAAGTTCTATACTACAGATACTTCAAGCACGCTAAGAATAGACCCTGCTCTATGAACTTCGTTGTACCAATGCTATGCTACATACTAAGTCGAATACCTGTGACCACTCACGACTTCTGATTGGTAGAAGGCGGTATAAACCGGAAGAATAAATTTCCTTTCAAGCTATCATTGGTCAGTACAATTAATACTATCTTGCCATTGGCCAGGAGCTTTAAGCCCCACATTCCGTATTTGGACTCATTCCAGGGCTGTTTGGAATCTATACAAAAGTATTTCGTCAAGAATGTCCGCAACAAGTATTGCCCGACTCGCATTGTCTACTAAGCTACTCTCAGCTGCTTTGTTTCTTTCTTTCTTCTGTCCCAACCTCGTTCGTCGACCTATCGCCAATGTCCCCGTAGAGTTGCTGTATCGTCATTCTTTTATCCATTTGTTTGCACCGACAACTTTGACACTCTTTTTTGTTTCTATTACCTGCTGTACACTTCACTCCTTTGTGTACAGTCCCAGCCATTCCTCGGGGGCATCTTCGGGCATCTTCGGACATCTTGAGCTCCGAAAACAGCGCGTCATTCACTCGTTTACTCGATAATACACTCGACTTTCGTTGCTATTATTGTCACTGTTAACATCCAACTAGCTACCTTCTCTTCAATCCTTCAATTCATAAGACCAAGAGCACTTCATACACCCCGCAACTAGGGAATGGCATTGGTACGGGACCCGGATTTCTGGCGCCGTTTCTCACGCGCCATTCGCCTGGATGAGGAAGCAAAGGGGCCTTCTGAGAGTGCAGAAACGGTGGTATACTCGTACGAGCTTTTTCTCTGTCCAGCTCCTTCTAAGCTCTACAGTCGTCCAGCTGGCTAATGCGTGATAATCATCAAGACACGAGTGGATTCAACGCCAACAACACAAGAAACGAAAGACCTGCGCCTGTGGATTCTTGATTGCCTTCCTCGTGTGTTTCTTCGTTGCAGCGGCCGTGGTGGTGATTTGGTGGTTCGCTACGCACAACTGGCTACGTGAACCGCCGCATGAGTCGCACGAAAAAGTCGATTCCCAATGATCGCCCAGGCTCATACCCTTCGATTGTCGATGAGCTTCTCGAGAGCGACATCTTCTACTATACAAAAAACGTGATGGATGAATCCAGGGCTTCAACAATCCAGCGTGAGAGATATGATCATCTGTGACTCGATTAGCAGGATTCCTTTGCGGCGTTGGGTGGTGTTAATTTGAGAAAATACCCTTTCTTTTGGTCCTGCTCTGAATACAAGCCAGAGCCACTCAGGTCATTCTTGGCGTTTGGCGTTAGGTCGATTGATACGAAATTAATTGCATACAAGTACTTTTCGACGGTCCAGTAAAAACCCACGTGATCTGTCCGCATGTACCTGCCAAAAAGAGCTGGCCAATCACGGATATTGTTAGTTATCAGTAGACGGCCTTGGGCTTTGTGATGCTGTTCGCCCGAATGGCTATCGTACCTATTGTGCTATATAGTATACTAATTTCTAAGTGCTAGGAAATTACATAGAAGCATTCTCAATAAGACTCAACAGTGATATCTCACTGACATCCTTTAGAGTAACAACAACCTAATCAGGAAGGGCGCCTATCAGCGGCTTATCGCTTCTCCACCGCTTTCCCCGCAGATACCTCAGGTACGTACCGGTGCTATTAAAGCGCTGCAGTCCCCTGGCAATCTTTCATTTTTGTGCGTGTCACATTGTGCTAGACAGAGTTGAGTCAGGATGTTTCCTCCTTTGGATTATTTTTCGTATCGTCGCATCCGGTAGGTGTGAGGTCTACGTTACTACTCTATACTGGTGCGGAGATCACTGACAGCCATACTATAGCGACTCTAAGAGACAAGCACGGGCAAACCGTATTGCCTCGCTGCCACCCCACTACCATGCCCCCTTCAGTGCATTTGACAAGTCGATAATCAACAAACCAATCGAACAACTGGTGCAAGATGTCCAGGACGATTCGGTTGATGCCGTCGATGTTCTCCGCACGTACGGCAAGGTAGCTGTCAAGGCTCACGAGAAGACCAACTGTGTAACGGAACTGCTTGTTCCGGAAGCAGAGAAGTGGGCTCAAGAGGAGGTTAATCTGGAGGGACCGTTGGCTGGCGTGCCTGTTTCTTTGAAGGATACGGTCATGGTTAAAGGGTTTGAGACTTCGGTTGGGTATACGAAGTTCTGTGGGCAGCCGGAGAAGGAAGACGGTGTTATGATTAAGTTGTTGAAGGATGCGGGTAAGCCAACTTGATCCAGTATATTCTCATGTGCGTTGGCTGATCGACTAGGTGCTGTTCCTTATGCAAAAACCGCACTGCCGTCAACCCTTCTGTCATTCGAGTCTGCAAACGCTCTCTGGGGCACTTGCAAGAACCCACACGTTCCCGCATATAGTCCAGGAGGCTCAACTGGCGGAGAAGCGGCTTTGCTCGCACTGGGAGGTCGTATCGGTATTGGTACCGATGTTGCTGGCTCCGTTCGTGTTCCCGCTGCTTGGAGCGGTATCTATGCTCTCCGTTGCAGTACTGGTCGATGGCCAAAGTCTGGTGGTAGGACCAGTATGCCAGGACAGGAGGGTGTTCCTGCTGTGTATAGTCCTATGGCACGCACGTTGAATGACCTGGCGTACTTTTCGCGGTCTATCATTGGGCTGCGGCCGTGGAAGTACGATTACACAGTCCATCCAATTTCATGGAGAGAGGAAGACGAGAATGAAGCTAGAAGTAAGAAGCTGCGGATTGGCGTGATGTCCAATGATGGTAAGTAGTTGAGTTCCGCTGGATCATAGACTCAACACTAACCAAACCAGGTGTCGTTCCTCCAACCCCAGCAATCGAGCGTACCCTCTCGACCACTATTGCCGCCCTCACCGCAGCCGGTCACACGGTAGTTGAGATTACACCACCCGAGACTGCTGACACGTTCGCCGGCTTCAATCTCGCTTCCCAGCTGCTAAACTCTGACGGCTGTGCCACGTTCAATTCCTTCTTTCATAGCTTCGAACCGTCCGACCCAGGTGCCGACCAACTCTCCCGGATTGCCAACCTCCCCCGCCCCCTCCGTTATCTCTACTACCTCTATGTCCGTTATGTTAAGCGCGATATGAAATGGGCCACCCTGATCCAATCCTTCGGTCCCAAGTCGGCTGCCGATAATTGGAAACTTGTTTACCAGCGTGAGACGTACCGTGCCACCTGGCACGCCTGGTGGGATACCGAGCCTCAGCAGTACGATTTCATCCTATGTCCCGCCAACGCAACTCCAGCTCTTCCGCACAGAGCTATGCGCGATGCTGTTTCGTCGTGTGGATACACTTTCCTCTGGAACCTACTTGATTATTCCGCGGGCGTGATCCCAGTATCTCACGTGGACGCCGTAAAGGATGCGCTTGTCGCGCCATACAAGACGATCTTGAAGCGCCTCGAATCCAACCATGCTATTGCACAGGGTGCGTGGATGCACTACGATGCAGCCAAGATGGCGGGTCTCCCTACTGCCGTTCAGATTGTCGGGAGACGATGGCAGGAAGAGAAGGTGTTGGGATACATGGCTGCCGTGGAACAAGCGCTGGAGGAGTATCGTGATCCCCAGACCGGAAAGGATGGGAAATATACTTTGCTTGAGATTGATTGATCCGGAGTACAGTGCCCCAAATCGTGCATAGTTAGAGTTAAATACCACGTGTAGAAATCTACCACATACCCCAAATTCTGCACACATTCTGCAGCTCGTGGTAAAAGACAACCCTTGCCTCGGTGACGATTGGCATTTCCGCAGTCGCCTTCCGAATTCAGCGGTGTGCCCATGTCTTCAGAGATCCAGCAAAAAGAAGCAAGTAGAAGAAGCATTTCAGCCAAGCAAGCCAATTGCAATTCTACGAACCTCAGAATCTGCAATCTGCGCTGTCACCGATCGACTGATCACATGGCCACACTGGTGCCTAGAATTACAGGCCACAAACCACATTCCGCCTCCATTTTTCTCTTCCTCTCCACGCTTCCCCAACGCTTTTATCCTCTTCTTGTCTTCTGGTCTCTGGACTTTGCAATTGCCAGCGTTTTATTTGTCCTGGGATCCAATACACTGCCCGATAGTGACTAATTGTGTGTTCATTCGCAGCGTTGTCATCTCACAATCGCCTCTCCGACGCCATATCCGTCAGCCGCACCATATCCGCACCGCGCTAGAACCGCAGATACGAGGCGATTAGAATAGCCTAGCCTGGGCCTTGATAAACACGCATTCCTAACTGCATCTGCCTCCCCGATCTCGCATAACCGCAGGATGCCGGCCCTGGCATCCGCGCGCTACTGTCTCCAAAACCGTTTCTTATACTCGTGATAACTAGCAGCGGAGCTAGTGATGCTGATGCGCGCTGCTGGGATGGAAAAATGGCATCCTCATCCTCGAAAGATACTGCATCGTGGCGAAAAAAGAACCTGAATCAAAACCAGAAAGACCAGATCCATTTTGTTAATGCGCGACCGTCGTCTGAGACGGAGAAGTTGAAGATTCAGCGCATGGTGCGCGCTCATGTTGGGAAGTGGATTTCGGATCAGACGAGGGATCGGTCTGCTGAGGGGTCGTCAGTGCCCGAGTTAGAGATTGAATCGGGGAATATAATACAGGAAACTGGACGTGAGGAGGGGCCGCATGATGAGACTCCGGGAGCTTCCAGGGTGGCGTTTTTGGATGGATATGAGGGCTTGTCGCGGTCTTCTTCGTCGCCGGATGTTGTCGAGTCGTCGTCGCATTCATCGTCGGAATCTAATGCGCCGGTTGTTGTCCCTGGTAGCAGTTCTGAGCAGCGCTTAGTCCATCGTCCTGTTGTGAAACCTCGGTCCCATACGCCGCACCGCACCCCTACGCCTCAACAAATGATGGGTACCAGCATTCACGATAACCCTCATACCTATAATCATAACCAGGAAGTTGCTCGATCGCGGCTTCCAACACCGTCTATTGACCGTGTCGGCGTTAGCGTCTGGGATCCATTTCACACCTATCCTTCTCGTTATTCACCGGAATTCATCCGCCTACATGAAGGCTACAGTTGGTACCCTCTCTCCCGTGCTACGTGAATTAGACTAATTGTTTAGGCTTGTCAGTCGTCTGGCCATTTTTAACTCCCGATTCTCCCAATGGATTAGGGATCATTGGCAATTCGACATGGTTCCCGCTTTCCTTGACGGATGCCACACTATTCACGGCCTTTTTATTCAGCTCATTATCTCACCAATGCGCTAGGTGGCGCAATCGTTCAATTCCAGATGGCGCATTTAAGCCTCAGGACCTGCGGACTCTGCAAATGGTTGAGATCGAAACCATCAAATTGATCAACGAAGCGGTTCAGGATCCCGCCCGGGCTGCGAGCGACGCCGTCCTTCTGAGCGTACTATGCATGGCGCACAATACGTCGAATGACAGTTCTCAGCAACGTGCCGATTGTACACCATTCACGGCACCTTTGCAGCGTCTGCAATGGCTAGACGTCTATGGGAGTTTGCCTCCGAATCTTGTTCATGTCCAGGGCTTGATTCAGATGGTTATGCTTCGGGGTGGGATTGAAAAGATCGAGCTTCCTGGTCTTGCCTCGATACTTTCTTTGTAAGTCGCATTTCTTCTGTAATATGAACACTTGCTAATCCAATCTAGCTCCGACATACTCACCGCAAGTTCGTACCTCTCACGACCGGTCTTCGCCTGGATGCCCCTCGAAAAGCACCGCAGAGGCCACACACTACAAACCCTACTCAACTTCACTCCACTCGATGTCGATCATGGCTTTGGCCGATTCCGTGACCTCGGCTTCACCGCGGAAATGGCAGAAACCTTCCAAGCAGCCCGCGTCTACACCAACATAATCCAAGACTACCTCAAAGGAAAAATGGTCAAACCCGATCTCACAATGCTTGTCGACCAACGCAACCTAGTCCACTACACCATCCTCTCCCTCCCCTCTGCCACCGAACTCCAACAACGCCACACTTACCGAACACATGAAATTATATACGAAACCTGCCGCCTAGCAGCACTCATCTACGGCGTCGGCGTCGTCTTCCCCATCCCTTCAGGAAGCACACCACTCCCCGACCTTGCCCGCCTTATCCAAACAATCCTTCAATGCCCCACCTCCTCATCTATATGGGACTACACCGACGCCAGCACAGCACTAACATGGGTCCTCGCGCTGGGCGGCATCGCCGCAGAAAACCTCCCCGAACGAACATGGTTCGTCTCCGCACTGGGCCACACAGCGCGACAGAATCGGATATCCTGCTGGAATGACTTCCACAATGCAGTGGGGACACTACTCTGGTGTGACGCTGCCTGTGAACAGCCGGGGCAGAGGCTGTGGTTGGAAGTGGCGCGGTCATTTCAGTTGAGTTGTTGATGGGCTTCTCTTTCCACTTGAACAAAAAGGAAGATAAAAGGATATGAATTATGACGCCTACGAAGGGAGCATGAATGAACATGGTATGGCATGGGGGGATATATATATTGCATGTCTGGTGTCTAGAGGATTTTATATTGTTTAATGTGTATGCACGAGCATTAATCCGTTATTTCTTAAGATAGAATATGATTATAGATTGCCTGTACTTCCATACTGGTTCTCAGTGACTTGGTTAACAAGAAATGGCCCCCTTTCCTCTACGCTCTCCAGATTTCTCCTTTCGATAGCACAATGCCTCCACCAAATAACACCCACCCACAGCACCCCTACAACTCCGATAACCCCCACAAACAACCAATTAACCACAACAATCCCGTTCTCCTCTCTCCCCCGAAACTCCTCAAGTGTAAGCATATCCAATCCAACTTGCGCAAACCCCACCACCGCAGAAACAAAAATAACAAGGCCATATACCGTCCCGAAATCGCGGAATCCGAAGACTCGCGCTGCGTAGTCTGATATACTCGCGTAGAAGAAGGGGCGATAGATGCTGACGAGGGATATAGCCATATACGCCGCTGCTAAGCTGGATGGGATGCAATTCATGAGAGACAGTATCGATCCCACGATGACTAAAATGAATGCGATGGGTATTGTGGGGAGGGTATCCAGGATTATCCCTGTGAAAGGAGCTGCGATGATGCCGCCGATGGGGAGGAGGATTGTGAAAGTCCGGGTTATGTGATTTGCTAGATCAGGTGAATGTAGGAGAGATGAGTATTGGTAATGGACAGTAGCAAGGAAGTAGTTTATACGAAGAGTAGTGAGGGCCGTGAAGAGGGCATAGAGGATGAAATAGAGGGATAGGATTTGATTGTGCATGGGGAGGTTATGTAGAATTCCGAGGATGCGGTCTTTGTGATTTTGGGGTTGTGTCTGGGGTGGGTGGCTATTTGGGTTCTGTTGTAGCAGGGGTGTGTATCGACCGATCGAGGATGTGATCCTGCGTGTGCTGCTGGGGAAAGTAAGGAATGATTGGATTTTGGTGATAATTTCTCGGTGATAGCTGGCCTCATGGACATTCTGAGGGTTTGACTCTGCGGCTATATGAGCTTCTGCCTGTAGCACTAGTTCACCCACTGTTTTGTATGATTCTGCTGGCATGATTGTGACTTGCGTAGCGAGTATGAACAGGGGAATGGCGAGATATATCAAGAAGAAATGGCGCATTGAGAACACGTCCGTATACTCATTGACCAAGTTAAATGCCATGAAAACCGCAGTGGATGCGTCATACGCCCCCGTTAACATAGCGAGAATCAACCCCGAGCACATGGGAAACGTGTTTGACAGATGGAATGAGGATATGTAGATGAATGGCCCGGCAAGGGCTAGGAGTGTATATCCTGTGATGTATGCGTCGAAGGGTATGTATCTGGCAAAGACGAAGAAAAGAGAGCCGATGGTTAGGAGGCAGCAGCTGATTATTCCACATATCCGTGGGCCGTAGGTATCGAGGATTGTGCCTATGGGGAGTGCTGAGAGGTTTGTTGCGACGGCTGCTGTGGCGAACACTAGGTTTAGGCTGGAGTAAACTGTCAGCTCTGCCGATAAGAGGTTAGGGGTGACGTACCGGATTTCTTGTCTATAGCACACGAACACACCTTGACCGAGCTCTTCTGGGAAGCATAGATCTCGGTATACACCTTCTTTGATCAAAATTGGTTTGATGGCTGCGAATCCGAATATGATCCCACCTGATAAGAAGCAGGACAGCGCCGCTATGCAGACCTGAGCTATCCGCTTATGACGGTCTACCTCAAAAGCACCCGTCGTCTTCGGAATGCCTGGTTCATCCAAAGGCAGGTCTTTCGATTCCATGCCCGTTTGCTTTCGTGTTCCCGAATTCGGTGGACAAACCCCTGCCTCATTCTCAATAGACTCAGCCCATACCCGCCCTGCAACTGGCTTAGTGGGTCGCCTTCTAGAAACATAGCTCAGCGACGACGAAAACGAAGACGCTACTGAATCATCCGGAAGCTCCAGGTACGCATCTTCATCCGACTCAGTCACAGAAGTCCGACCCACATCCTCACGAGACGTGCCAGAGTTATCCTCCCACCATTTGAAATAGGGGATACGGCTCAGAGACATTGCGGCGTCTGTTTCGTTCTACCTTCTTCGTTTTGTGTCGTGATCATTCACACGGCCAGGCTTGATCCATACTGGTCACTGCGGTCAACTAGTTAGCTGGGGTTGCTGTGAATAGTAAAAGATGGACAGTGCACTCCACTGTTTGTGGCGATGTGCGAACCTAACCAGATAAGTGCATATCCCCGGGGTTTTTTATATCTGTGTTTTTGAGTGTTTTCTCAGTGAGGTATGTCGAGCTCAACGGTGATCTGGTGCATCACATGACCCCGCACTCTCCGCACGCGCATTTCTTCTCTGGTCACCACCCAACCAGGGGCTTTTCAACATATACAGGTGACAAAGGTGTGGTACCGGTGATACAACTATATATAATGTCCAAGGCATGGTGTTGTGGCGGTCAACCTAGAAAGGCCCATATGCATATGCACCATTAACAGGTGGCAGGTGGCCCAGATAACCAAATAGAGTAGTACAACGGCGGCGAGTAGGCTGACTCGACAAGAGGTAACGAGGCTACTTTAGCGCGGTGATATACCATAATATATGCCCGCTCTGGACCAACCAGAAAATCCCCCGCCGGAGGATGAATACCATTGGATGCTTTGTGCGTAGCCACTGGCACGATGCGTCGCGAAATACAAGCGTTCGATTACGTTCGTTGCATAGCTACGGAGTGTTGGGGTCACCAACACGTTCCGGGTACGCTAGACGACGGTTCTACTGCTATACCTATGGAGTAGCGAATGTGTAGATGCTCCGGAGTGCTCTTCGGAGAAGGCCGACTTGACAACCTTGCGATGAGAAAAATCCGCTAGATTTAGTTCATTGCCGGGGTTGTGTGGAAAGAAAGACCCCTCGTCCTTGCATATCAGCATCCTCCGAGTCAGCAATAAGGAAGGACGTCCAAACCGGAGATTGCGCATGAATGTGAACATGGCCATGTGTTGCGGGGGTTCAACAATCTCATAATCAAGAAACGGATCCTGGCTCCACAGGCGAACCACCACAATTAATAGTTATTCGGATGGGTGAACCACTTCAGGCGTTCGTACGAGAGTTGGGTCCCTTGCCCGGTTCGAATGGGGCATAGCTTGACGGAGTAAAAAGTCAGTCATTGCTAATTGTCAACCTTAACCTTGACTGATTGACAACCAGACAGGGCAGATCGTTTTTAATTTGCCGACCGACTTTGCACGAAAATGGTTGGAGTCGGGGGTGATGACGGTGTGTCTGGCAGGGGAGTCTGACCACTCACTAGCAGGTCTAGTGGCATCACTAGGGGACGGGCTTAGGTGGTGAGGAACTCATGGGCTAATCAACGGCCACGATGTACGCAACAGGAATAGCCGGGGTCAATCCAGCGGTGCAGGGACGTTGGACGCTATTCCGAAGCGGATCCTGGCGGTAACAGAAAAAGCATAGTCTTTGTTGAAGGGGGACCGCGCCAAACGACGACGACGACTACAACGACGCGGACGATGATGATTACCCTGCCGGACCTGCAGAGGAAACCAAAAGAGCACCCTGCCGGTGTGCATTATGCCCATTTCATTCCCCTTTAATCGCTTCCCCCCGAGGGTGTTCTCCGCCCAATGGCTCTGGGAGAATAAACTCGAGGATTTTCTAATTCGGGCAGTGATCAGAGGCGGGAGTGAGTGTCAGTTCACCATGCTTTGCCGTCCGGAAGAAAGCAGAAACGAAAAGGCAAAAAGACAATAAAATCGTGCTCTTTGTTTTGCAGGCTGAAGTCGGCACATACTATGTATGCATGAAGGATATAGGGGACATGCCGATGATGATTGCTTCTCTGTACGTGCCGGAAATGTTGCTTGCTTGCTGCTTGCTACTAGTCTGCTTATCATCGCCCTTGTTGTCCCCGGCTTTCTCGGCGGATTCTTAACGGTCAACAACTGCAGGACCACTGTCCGGAGTATCCACATAATGGGCCTGTCACTTATGGGGGGTTGTTTGGCACACGGCATTTCTTCTACTGGAGACTGGACCACTTGGAAATCGCTCAAGTCGATTGTCCACGCCAAGCACAAAAAGATCTTCTTTTCTGCTTTGATAATATTTTATTATTATTATTTTTTTGGTCTGGAATTTGTCCTCTCAATGCTGTCTACCATGCCCCCTCTCCATCTCGCACGAACCATCTTGTTATTGGACATTTAATACACCACTTTCCCCCGTCATAATCCTTGTTGATGCTGGCGATTCGGCTTAGTTTCAAAAAATAAAACTGGTTTTCGCTTGCTTGTCCTGCGCAGTTGTTTCTAATTGCTGTTTCACTCCTTTTCTTCCTATTGACGTTGTCTCTATCCATGGCTATTTCACTCGCTGTTCGATGACCAACTGGATACCGTGATGAGGGGATGGTCAGTTTCTGCGATTGAACCGGTTTCGGCTCCTGGTCATGACTTACTAACATCGTCCTCCCGGCTATAGTCTTACTTGCCGCCAGCGCCATTTGAAATGTACCCATTCCTTTCCTACTATCTTTGATGCGCCAGACCGTGTTTTCGGTATAGATTGTCTAAGATTGTTTCTAATACCCTGCACAGGTGACAAAACCGGTGTCGAATGTCTACGGTGTCAGCGCTCCGGACGACGGTGTATACCCGCGCCAGCAAAACCGGAAGAAATCACTTTTCGACACGGCCAGAATCCATCACTGCGAGCTAAAGGGCCGCCTCGATATGGGGAGAGCGATTTGGCATTCCCGGACGATCAGACTTGGGTTGACACACCTCCCGATGGTTCGTTCATCGCCTGTGAGATAACAAACAAGCAGGCGCATAGGTTGACTTGTAGCAGTCGCTTTCGAAGACGAAACAGACCGCACAGCAGCGGACTACCACGTTATAGCTTCCGAGATAATGCCATTCAGCGCGGAAGCAACATCTGATAGCCGGTCTTCAGCATCTTTGGCCACGATGACACCTCCAATTGTTCCCAGCGGTTTACTGCCTTCGTTTTCGCCGGGCGATTCGGCGCATCCTAGGGCTTTACCTGCATCCCGACCCAGTTCCGTCAACTCTTTGCTTCCGGCCGATACCCTGGTCGCTCGTCCAAAGCTGGCTAGCTTGAATGAGGCTTTTCTTCTGAGGCATTATCGAAAGGCTCTTGGTGCATGGGTATATCCCCCTTCCTTATTGACGTTGAGCAAGAGCTAATGAAGATGACAGCTTGACGCGTGTGACTTTGAAAGACACTTTTCGAGTGAGGTGGTCGACCGCGCACCGATATGCCCCCTCCTACTTTACGCTTGTCTGGCAATATCTGCCCGTCATCTTTGTCACACCACGAAATCGGTGCCGCCACATGTTGCGGACGAATACCACGAGCGATGTATTGCGATTCTTCTCCCGGTTTTGGAGAATAAAGACTACAGCATTAGCATCGAGATTCTTCTTGCCTCGACCGTGATACTGCGGTTTTTCGAGCAAATATCTTGTATGTGCAGCGACTTGAAACAGAGCGTTCGAAGCTAACTATATCAGCCCAGCATCCCTCCTGCGACCTGCAGCGGCACCTGCTAGCAGGATCCGTCTACATCAGCTCCCACGTTGACTGCGCAATCTCCGGCGGCCTTGCAGAAGCTTCTTTCTGGGTCTTCGTCATGCAAGACATCCAGTTCGCATTAGCCTACCAGAACCCCCTCCGACTGACCTTCAGCCCCTTCGAAGAGAAACTCCGACAAGCATGGGCTTCTCAGACCCTCCTGGACGACCGATACTGGACCCATCGAGCCATCTGGATCCTGGCAGAAACGATCAATTACTGCTACAGTACCGGCAACGGCCAGAGCCAACTTGACGTGATCGATGGTGACGCATTACGGGAAAAGATTTGCTCATGGGAATCCGGACACCCAGCTGGATTCCAGCCGTTGCACTTCTCCCCGGCTGACCCGAGAAATGGCCGACCGTTCCCTGTCGTGTGGTATACTAGTCCTTGGCATGGTACGTGGCATTCTATCGACATGTTAATTTTACGGGGGAGGAGCTTCTCCCGGTTCGAGTATGGGCCAATATGCTAACGGTTTTGCCGGCCGCAGCGACTGCGATCCAGCACATCTGTATGGCTAAAGCCCTGATAAGGGAACATGACTTACGAGTCATGCATATGGGTCCTGACTCAGACCGGCATATCAGACGGTTAAAGGTACGGCTTCTAGAAATTACTGTCTTTTCTTTTCCCCCATAAAATTCCATGTCGCATAATCCCGAAGGAACAACGACACTGACAATGCAAACAGGAAGAAGTCATGGAAAACCTCAGCGTTCTCTTCGGAATCGCTTTATCGGCGGACGATGATCCCTCCGCACGCACCATGGCGTGTCATGCTCTTTGTGCCTGTATGGGACTATTCCGCCCCCTTTTATGCGGATTTTCAACTGCAATTTCAGAACGCCAACTAATCATTTTTATTCTGGACAACAGGCGGCTCCTGGGTCCGTGATCCCCAGGCCCAAAATATCCTCCTCGACCTCCTCCGGCGAACAGAAGCCGAGAATGGCTGGCCGTGGACGTTTATGATGCAGAAACTAACTCAAGACTGGCGTCTGACAGTCCGATGATCTGCATAGCAAAACAAACAGAAAAAGAAGGACGGAACAAAAAAAAAGGAAAGAAAAGAAAACAATGCCGTCAAACGTCAGTGGTTTTACCGCCAAACTTCTTGTTTTTCGCACTCTTTTCGGACATGCAGTAGTCGCTATGCTAGTGCGGTTTTGGCGTTCCCACAACAGTCCACGGCACAAATCCACTACCCGCTCTGGCTGTTACTGTTTACGGGAATAGACAGGGTGGCATTTTATTGTCGAACGTTGGTTGACTCGCGTCTATCGAGAGCGACAACACATCCAATCTCCAAGCCCAGCCAATACCGAACCGGTTCGGCGTTAAGCCGGTGGGACCGATTCTGAATCGGAAGCGTGATTGTCAATAATTTCACCACATCCACCGCTCATAGCAGACGATTGTCTCATGGAGCGGAAAACATCACAGCAATATTCCGTACGGTCTCCGATGACAGGTCCGTTGTACGGAATTGCAATTGACGCTTCCGGCGGCTACGAAGGTTATGCACGGCGGATGATTCCTCCCGGATGATTCCTCCCGGCCTATTCCCGATGGCCCACGGGCAGCAAAAGCAAACAGTAATACATCATTTCAGAGGACTAGTCTATGGAGCCACGCTTAGTATTTACCGCCATGAAGATACATATCACAGTGGAGTGCATGCAGGTCTGGACTGGAGATGATAGGTCGGTAGCCTGCTATATAGACGACAGGGTTGTACTATGCTGTATGCAGCAATAGCCTGTAATATAGAAATGTGTGAATATTTGATAGTGAGGCTACAGGGATATTCCTTGTGCATACTTGTAGATTGAATGCCGGCAATTCTCGAGTTGGGAGGCTTGCATATGTGGGTAGTGTTAGCGGGCCAATGGCATAGCATACATAATGTGCATTATTATACACGCTAGTCTGAACAAGGTGCACTAAGCGAGAACATCCCCGAGTATCAATGTCTACAGACTCAGACTCACTCATACCCAATAGCCCTTGGATACCTCACAAAAGCAATCTTCCCAGCAGGCGCCAACGCCATGCCCTCATTCCCCGTAACCCCGGGCTCCTCACCAAGCATATTCTGCGGATACCCAACATCCAACGGCTTGACACTCTCCAAGAACCGAATCTGCTCCTCTGAGAGCCGGGTACTCAACGCCTGGATATTATCGTACAGATACTCAACCCTGCGGCCTCCAATAAGTGGGAAGACGTACGGCACCTTAGCGAGAACGTAAGCCAGCGCGATCGCAGTAACGGAATCAATCCCATGCTCTGCAGCGACCTTCGCAAGCGCCTGGCTCATCCGGATCTCATCTTCAAACTGCGCATCGCTGCCCATCATTTTGCGCAGACTGCCATCACCGCGCTCCTGGCGCTCATGCAGCGCCTTTTCAGTCTGGAACTTGCCACCGCCAACCGCGTCCCACGGTGCCAGCGTCATACTGAACTGGCGCGCCATGGGGAGGATTTCACGCTCAAAGTCGCGGTGCAACACATTTCACCGACCCCGGTAGACGCTAAACGGCGTGCGGCCCTGCAGCGTGGCATACGCATTCGCCACGCTAACAATCCAAGCGGGTGTGTTGCTGATTTCCAAATACAACACCTTCCCTGACATCACGAGCGCGTGCAGACTATCCATGACCTCCGCGACGGACGTCGTGTAATCCCACCAATGCACGTGTAGGATATCGATATAATCAGTCTGCAGCTTGCACAGCGAATCCCACACACTCATCACCAAACTCCGCTTACTATTCCCCGCACAATTCACCATGTTCCCCTTCATCCCGGATTGATACCCCTGATATGCCCCCGTATACTTCGTCGCGACAACCAACTGATCCCTATTCCCGCGCTCACACATCCACTCCCCAATTTCACTCTCGCTCTCCTCGCTCTGGTAATTATTTGCCGTGTCGATGAAGTTGCCGCGGCGACGAAGGCGTCCAGCAGCACAAAAGAGGCATCTTTGGTCATGCTACCCATTCCCGCGGACCAGGCAGAGCCGATAGACATGGCACCGAGCTGGAGGGGGGAGACGCGGATGCCGGCTGTGGGCGAGAGGATGCGGTGGTGGCCCAGGGGGGTTGGGGGTGGAGGGACTGAGTCGAAAGTTTCCATTTTTGGTTTCCAGAGTGTGAGGAAAAAAATAGTAGGAAGAGAGAAAAAGGGTAGGTCAAGGTGAGGATATGCCAAGAGGAGGTGAAAAGGGAAGAATTGGCAGAGGAGAATGGAGGGATGGGACGAGTTTATATACCCCTCAACCCCTCCAGAGTGGGACGATTCGTTGCACCCATGGAAACCTGTTACCAGTCGGATATGATATGCATCAATGAGAATTGGAATTGCCAGAGCCTTCCCTGTAGCCGAAGGTCCACTGGTGCTCGAAACGGTGGCTGTGGTTTCACCCAGTTTGGTGTAGCCCTAGCTACGTATTTGTGTCTAGAGTCTACATTATTATCTGGTATATTACCAGATCATCATAAACAACTCAATAATTATTATTACTACACACATAGAAATACACACATATTAAAGTACATCAGCCATAAATCACAAACATATAACACATAAAACAAAAACACATTACGAGTCCAACCTATAGGACCGACGATTATGACACACCATTAACAGTCAACCTCTTCACATCATTCCACACATTTTCCGTGCGCTGGAACGCCTTCTCAGCAACATATTTCATCTTCTGCCCCGTCTGGTTCGCAACATAGCCCGCATCAACAAGGAATTGCACGTTACGCCGAATAGTCGCCTTAACGTGCATCTTCTGCGAAGGTGAGATCATCTCCGATGCACCCAGCATGGGCCCTTGGCCTAGGCTACCGTGCATGGAGTCGAAGAGGGGTGTCACAGGCCACAGTGGGTGTGCGTTTCCTTTTTTCTGGATGGATCTCCGCATTGTCTCGAGCCAGGTCTCGTGGGGGACGATTTGGAGCGGGTACCTTAGTTCGCGGTGGAAGATATCCCAGAATTCGTGCTCTGTCAGACCGTCGAGCATGTGTGTAACGGCCCGCATTGCCTCGGCGGGTCAGAAGGCTTGGTTGCTTGTTTCTTCTGCCACGCGGGTGCTGCTCGTCACGAAGATCCAGTTGTTGCCGTACTCCTGGCTGGAGACGCGCGCATCGACGACGGCAGATACTAGTCGCCAGACGAAGTCGTCGATGTTGGCGACGTCTTCCTCCGGTGTACCGAGGATAAGGCCAGGTTTGATAATAGCGAACTGGTCCGGCCGTGACGATGCAAGCTGTTCAACCAGCAACTCAGAGAGATACTTGGTCTGCGCATAACCGTTGGCACCCTTGACAATCTCTGCCAACTCGGTGTCTGTCTCGCCCGGATGCCAGGGAAGTCCACCAGAGACGTAGACAAGACACGGACATACAGGGGAAGACACAGTCACCTTCATCAGTTCCACGGTAGATTGAACATTAGCAGCGCGCAGAATTTTCGTACCCGCGTTCCAGTTAACGGCTGCGCTAGCGTGGATCATCGCATACACCATACCGTCGTTCGGGCTCTGACCCGTTAGCGATGCCCATTGTGTCGGCTTCAGACCAAGTTGCGGTTCGGCTAGGTTACCTGCCCAGACATCGAGCTTGGTCAGGTAGTAGTCAGATCACCATTGAGCCCGAACAGCGGTTTCCTTGACGCGCGCGAAAGCTTCGGAGGAAGTGTTGGCGCGAACATGAGCGATCACACGGCTAACATCGGAGCGATCGCACAGATGGCGCAGGATCTGGGTGCCCAGGAAACCCGTAACACCAATGACGAAAATCGTCTTCTGGACCTTCGATGTCTACGCGACGTTTTTGACCAGAGAGTCGGCTTCCTTCATGACATCGAAGGCAGGTTCTTCCTCCTTGACTCCGCCCGTGAGGTCGGTGTCGATGTACGAAGCCAGCGAGCGTACAGTCATGTGGCCGTCCATAATACGGGAGACGGGCACCTTGACGCCATAGTGCTGCTTGATAAAGCCGGCCAAGCTGATGACCTGCACCGAGTCGATACCCGTTGCGGCGATATTAAACTCGCGGCCTTGCAGCGGATTGCTGCCGTGGTTTATCAGGGCAGCGATATTGTGACTGAGGGCTTGGGCTTTGTTCTCGTCGGCGCGCAATGTTGACATCGCCGGCGCCTCGCGCTTGATGTCCATAGCTGGCTCGAAGTCAAAAGGCAGACGAGCCAGCCATTGGCCCACTGTTTTGCGGTCGACCTCGGTCGATGAGGAACTGGGAATCTTCTCGACAACAAACCAGATGACAGGGACCATATTCACAGGCAGGGTCTCGGACAAATGTTCGGCGAGAGAGCTCAAGCGGAAGCCCGTACGCTGAACGCGATCGTTCGAAACGAGAACAAGGCCAGGGCCAGCAGTTGCAGCCAGCCCAAGGATACCGACCAACTTGTTGGCATAAACACCTGTCTTGGGATATGACACCATGGCCTGAGACACCTCGTGAAGCAGTGTCAGATGGTACTCGATCTCACCCAGTTCAACACGCTGGCCACGAATCTTGACCTGAGTGTCCTTGCGGCCAAAGAACAGAAGCGAGCCATCCGGCGCGTACTTGACCAAGTCACTGGTCTTGTACAGACGCGGACACCGGTTGAACGGGAGCCAGTCGGGTTGGGAAATAAACGCTGCTTCTGTCTTCTCCTTGTTGTTCAGGTAATGGCGAGCTAATATATTGCCTTCGATGAGAAGCTCACCAACGGCGCCAATCGGGGCGAGCTTGTTGTGGTTATCGCGGTCGACTACCCAGCAGCCGGAACCAACTGCTGTACCGATGTCGTTGGGCATGGTACCGGGGAGGACGTTGTGGTTCGAAGACGTGTAAACACAGCACTCTGAGGGCCCATAGCCGTTGACCAACTGGACATGTGGCGTCCATGCTGCAACGTGAGAAGCAGTCATGGCCTCACCAGCAAGGCAGAGCGTCTTGAGGGTAGGAACGGTGGTAGGGTCAACGGTGTTCACGAAAGATGGCGTGAGTACAGCCCAGTCGACATTCATCCGTGTCATGGCCTCTGCAACGTTTCCGCGGCGTTCAGACTCAGCTGGAACGTACACGCATCCACCTTGCACGAGCGTCGGCAGAGCCTCCAGGATACTAGCATCAAAAGTGTAGGAAGCAAACTGGAGCACACGACGGCCCATCTGAAGACCTTCCTTGTGCGCAATAGCGCCCGTGCTAAAGGCGCGATGCTCGATGACAGAGCCCTTTGGCGTCCCTGTGCTGCCAGAAGTGAAGATAACGTACGCAGAGTTGGACGCACTGACAGGAGTAGGACAATGATGGGGAGTCGCAGCTTCAGTCATACTCGGACCAACAGCAATAACCTTCTCGACAAGACCAGGGAAACGGCCAGTCTGCTCCTCAGAGCACAACACAACATGGGCACCAACTTCCTTGACCACAAACTCCATACGGCTGAGCGGCTGAGAGGCATCCATGGGAACAAAGGCACCGCCCGCCTTCATGGTGCCCAGCATGGCCACAATGGTCCACATGGATTTCTCGAAGCACAGCGGAACGAAGGCCTCGGGTCTGACACCAGCGTTGATTAGGTGAGCGGCCAGCTTGCTGGAAACGGTTTCTAGTTTATGATAGGTGAGTGACCCATCCTATGCGCAGATAGCAGGGGCATGTGGCTATCGGAAGTTGTCCTACATGATGAGGCTATGGATGCAGTCAGTGACCATGTCAGACACCGTCGCGTTCCACTACAATAGACCCTCCTTGTCTTGAGGACTAATCATCTCAAGTTCAGTGATTGTGCCGGCCGGTTCGGCAAGCTGGTGGAGGACGTGCTCGAAATGGCGCACGAGTCGGGATACTTCAGGTCGAGACGAAACAGCGTCATCGAAGTGCGCGTGGTCTTCGACCGAGCCATCAGTACCCAGGCTACATTCGAGTGTCAACGCCACGGTACTGAAACTAGCACGAGGTGCGGAGAAGGCTTGATGATGCCGTTTTCAGGCGTGGAGCTGACTGGCTGGATGACGAGCAAAGTTTGGAAGTTGCAGGCTGCAGCAGCACTTTCGGAGACTCGAGCGATGTTCTGAAGACCGAAGTTCTGTGCCGGAGTCATGTCCACGGTGTGAAATTGGATCCGCTGCAAGAATTCGGTGACAGGCTGGGCCGCATCGACCTGCGCTTTAATGGGAACGGTGGCAATTACCGGACCGACAATATCCTCAACGCCAGGCACCGGGGCGTTCCAGCCACTCAATGTGCATCCGAAGACCGTCTCTGGAGCATCACAGTAGCGCGCTTGGAGTAACGACCAGGCACCCCGAATCAAAGTGGCGGTAGTGAAGTCGGACGGGCCGCGGCTGAGCTTGAGATTGTGCACGAACGACTCGTTGGCGAGGGGCTTGTGGGTAGCGGAGGGAAGAGTTGGGAAGGTAGTTAGGTCACCCTCAGAGAACTCAGCCCGCCAGAAATCTTCCGTAGCATTGTCGGTGTTCTTCTCCATGACATGGCGAACAAATTCGTGGAACTGAGCGCGAGCCGGCGGAAGATTCCCTTGGAGCATCTGGAGAAGATCATTGAAAATCATGTCTAGAGACAGTCCATCGTAGTTGGAATGGTGAATGGTCAACAGAAACAGATTCTTCTCGGCTCCGGTGATGATACCGTGTTGGGTCAGAGAATCGCCCATGTTCATCGGTGTCTCGTCAAATTGCAGGTAGCGCTCCAGGTCCGTGTCGTACCTCCACTCAGCAGGGGAGAGGGTGACCACCTGTACCGTGCCGTATGCATCAGTATCGACGATAGTTGTCCGCAGCACATCATTGCTGCTAACTAACATCTCCCAAAAACTCCTGGAAGCGGTCGGTGGACAGGCTATCAGGCAATTCAAGGACGTGTCGGGCAATGTACGAGCCTGGTATGGTGCTCGAAAGAGCCGTAAGTCCAACCTGGAGCGGGGTGCATGGGTATGCATCCTGGATCAAACCTGGCTCGGTGCCAGTAGCTGCCGCAATGTCTGAGCATACTGCCTCGATGTCCTGTCCAAGAAGCTCGAATGGACGTGCTGGGCTTGTCTCTGTAGGTCGCGCGGGGACCATAGCCTTGACCATGCCATCGAGAGTCAAATTCCCCAAGATGTCTTGGACTTGGAGCTGGAAGCCCTCCGCTCGGCAACGTCGAGTGAGGTTCATCGCTTCGATGGAGTCACCACCAAGATGGAAGAAGTTATCCTCGGCGCCAATCTCTCCCTGGGGGTAGTGGAGGACGTCGGCCCAGAATTCGCAAAGCTTCTTTTCGGAGGAGCTGGTGGGCATGCGACGGTTTGTGGCGGTACCATTGCTGGTGATTGAAGATAGCTCCACCAGGGAAACGCTGTCACCAAACGTGGAGAGCATTCGGCGGTCCGTCTTGCCCGATGCGGTCAAAGGCATGTAGGCCAGAGGCAGGAAGGCCGAAGGAACCATGTATGAAAGGCAGTCTCCGAGCTAGCTCCCGGCTCATCTGTGCGGCGAGAGCCACCATTGCGGACTTGTCCTTGGGAATGGCGTGGAATGGATAGGCATGTTCAGGACCAAAGCCGCTCTGGCTAGAAATAAACGCAGCCAGGATTGACTTGCCGCCAGGATGAACCATGGAAACGGCTGTCTTCACAGTGCGATTGATAGCACGCAGGTGGGCCTCAATCTCGGTCAATTCAATCCGTTGACCACGAATCTTCACTTGCAGATCCTTACGACCAATAAGATGCACCTGCTCATCATCGGCGTACCGGACAAGGTCACCGGTCTTGTAGAATCGCCGGGAAATGCCATTCTGATTAGCCGAGAGCGGGTTGTTGATATACACGTCCTGGGTCTTTCCAAGATAGGCCAGATATCCTCGAGCCAGAGTGGGACCTTCAATGACCAACTCGCCGATTGATCCAATGGGGACCATTCGATCGTGGTCATTCGGATCCACGAGCCATGACAGGCCTCCAGTGGCGCGACCGATGCAGCTGCGCGGTGTATTAGGCATCATGCGTCCGATCATGATGACACTGCACTCGGAGGCACCATAGATGTTGATTAGTTGAGCACAGGCCGACCAGTGGTCAATTATATCTTGAGGGACAGCTTCGCCCGCCACAATGAGGGGCTTGAGAGAAGGAACGTTCTCGCGATTGAGGGAGCGTGCGAAACTAAGAGTGAAGATGGCCCAATTAACATTGAAAGAACGGATAGCAGGTCGGATGTCGGTATGGCGGTCATAATAAGAAGGGATATAGAGACAGCCCCCATAGATTAAGGTCGTAAAAATCTCAAGCGTAGAAATAATGAACGTATTAGCACCAAACTGTAGGGCACGGGTATCACTGTTAATGTTCATCGCTGATGCATGCTGAAGTGCACTGGAAGCAACAGAGGTATAGTCATGAACAACACCTTTAGGCTTGCCGGTACTCCCGGAAGTAAACATTACAAAAGAAATGTCACGGGGCTGAGACTGCGAGGTGAACTCGACGTAGGGCTCGGACAGAAGCTTCCCTATCAAGGATGTATCGACCACGACCACTTGTGGCGCAAGACCCATCAAGAGTTCCTTGTTGGTCCCGGATGCAATCACCGTTTGAGCCTGTGCAGACGAGATGATGGTCTCCAGTCGCTGCCGCGGCTGCTTGGGGTCGAAAGGAACCCACCCGGCTCCCAATTTCCAAAGGGCAATCAACACAACGGCCGTCCACAAGAACTTCTCAAAGCAGATTGGCACCAAATCACCGCGCTGGACCCCAACCGATGCGAGATATCGGACCATCTTGCCAGCAGTTTGGTTGAACTCAGCATATGTCATCTGGCCGTCCCAAACAAGTAGAGTTGGGACGTCAGGGGTTCGCTGAGCCGCATCTTCAATCAACCGATCAACGCAGGCCATTTTATCTTTTGGCAGGATACGGCTCCAGACCTCGACCTGCATTGTATCGAGTTCACTGAGCTGACAGACACTGGACACAGGCTGATGTGGGTCCATGCAGACGCTCTGCAGGATATTGGAGAATGTATTGAGGATGTACTGTGCTTGGGATCGAGAAGCAGTGGGCTTGTGATAAAGGAGGGTCATGGAAGATGATAGCGGATCGATATGGGGGACATAGTCGAAATGTAGTCTTGTTAGAAGGGGAACTAATTCAAGCTTTCCATCATGGAAAATGAAACTTACTGTATTCTCGTTCACAACATCGTTCTCAGAAAGATCAATCTTGATCAGAGGATCCTTCGGTCAGACAGCCGTGCTGCAGGGCTTTGGGTCTAATGTCGAAAAAGCTTCCAGGGCCTCGGACACTGAGACCAGAGAATCGGCCTCCAACAATCCGACATCCTCCGTGTGATACAAGATTTAGATGACGGCGCTTTCCTGTTCGCACCGTGCCCGGTAGATAGATGTGTTGATCCACTGTTGCTTCAACAACTGACGCTTCGTGTCAATTCTAACAACCATGACATCTTCAGAGCCTGAATATGAGCGTAGGACCGTTGCCCACACGGCCTGCACAACGTCCATTGGGGTGAAGGCCCATTGCTTGCAACAGGAGTTCAGCATAGACAACTGCATCTGCACCTTCAACCGTACCAGCGGTTACCGGGCCTCGCGCTTGGAGAAGAGACCATACGGGAGGTGAGACGGGGCTACATCAGTTGTGAACTCCGCAATTCTCCGCGAGGACTTTGTATTCCATCCACGCCACGGACAAGTCACTATCTAATTGATGTGGGCCCGTGACTCGCGGCTGCCTCGAGCCGCTTATTGGCAACTGCGACGCAGAATTGCGACAAATTGTGTTTCCACTATCATGGCACCAGGGGAAAAGAGAGAACCCTTGATGTGGGCCACACGTCTTAGCCTGATTCACTCCGTGTGTCATGCCTTGCCAGTTCTAACAATACCCGTGGAGGCTTGCAATGTCGTTTCTCTACTGATTTAAACAGATCTCGTGCATACCGGGACCGTGCAAAGCCACAAACACATGGCCCAGGCAGAGTTATTGCCTTGCATTGTTTGTTGCAAGCTCAAGACCGAATGAGGCCCGAGTGAGATCAGGATAAACTGGGCGTGGCGCATATATAACCGTATCATTTACTGTATGTACCGTATTACATACCATACAAATAAACATTGCCCTAAGACAGACAGAGCCCACTCTTTTTTTAAATCCAGCCTATCGACCATTGATGATGCTTCTCTAAACCGAACATTCAGCAAGCCACCAAGATCTCAGTCCTGCTGGACAAATCCGAGATATAGTGGAATAATCTCTAACACGATTTCCGTCGTAATTGGTGTTACTCTCTACCCGTACGGTTCTCTTTTGTCGGATCCTGAAATTCCTCTTGAGTTGGTCTCTTCGATTGATCGATCTTCTGAGACGGGAATCGGTGGAGAAGCGAAGAGATTTCTGTCCATGATTCTAATCCATCGAACGGAACTCAATGGTATAGACCCATGTAAGAGACCTGGTAAATATGGGATAATATTATGTTAATCACAGAGTACGGAGGGAACTTCATTTGGGAGTTCGGGAGGTTGTAGTTACTCCAGATCCATTGATCCGTTCGGTTATTGCACTTAGTTGCAGGAGAGCAGTTTTTTTCATGTGGACTTTGTAGCTGAACCGGCTCTGGGACCTAGTTTTGACATATAAAATATCAATCCTTAATCAATTGCTTCTCATCGATCATAGTTCCTCTTCCCATTGATACCTCATCTTCTACATAATCCATCTCTTAAAATCACTTTGTCCAATATGCCTCACATCGCAGGCTCCGGCCCTACTCTAGAAGGCTCTAATATCGACCTCCTCCGTGAAAAGATGGCGGAGGACGTGCGCAGTACGTTCACTTACATCATTCTCACCCCACCAACAAATCCTGCCCATTCTAACATACTTCCCAGTCGAGAAATACACCTTCACGGGCAAATCTGAGTTAATTCATTTCTGAAAATTAATTTTGATCAAACTTGCTCAGGTCTTGCTCACAAGACGATCATTTCTCCAGCCGGAGATATATCAAATCGGCAATTGGTACAAATGTTCCGATGTTGAGTGTACGGCTGGTAAATCGACTAACCCTAATACTATCCCTGGATATGTACGACTTTCACTGCTTTGTGTAAAACCATAGCAAGACATGTACTTGTAGAGTACAGGTATTTCTGCTTATTTGACGTAATGTGCACCAGTTGCAGGATCTGACTCGGCGGATTCACTCTGTGGTCAGAATTTCCTTTCTAGGTTTAATCGGATGTTCACTATCCAAACCGTCACGTAGCAATTAGTTGTCGTGTGTTTTATCCATATCATCCGTAGTGATTTCTACATTGATGCAAATCGAATACCCATGAATTTATCGTATAATGCTTATCACAAAAGATTAAGCCCGCCACAGCAACTCGCGTGCTTTCTTGGATCCAGTCCGTCGGCTTCCGGAAATTACAACATACGTATATAATAATACTTTTCCAATACTTGGTACAGCAGAGCCTGAATCAGAGGCGTAAGAGATATGGAGGCGGCTCACCTCGAACATGAAGAGTTTTATTGTGCTGAGCAAGCATACTTTCTCTACAAGCATACCCATAGTATCGTAATGTGTTGGCTGGCTGAAACGACCCAGCAAGAACCAGTAAGGCTATCCAACGACCCCACAGAAAATCTTATCGTACTAGATGTCGTAACTTTCTCGGGGTCTGCCGTACAAGGTGCGCACCCGTCTTAGTTTTGTATAGAGTAAGGCATACCGTATATTGTACCGTACTTGTAAACTTAGGTTAATAAACCCATATTACCCACTGAGTTTCCTCGAACTCCCTTGATCAGGGCAAAGTAGAACCCCCAAGATATTTCAGATCTAGGTCCGAGATATCCTGTACACTATGAAGTTTCTCGTATGACGTTCAGGATCTCATGGAAAGGGTATTAGCGGGATCATGAGGTAATTGTCTGGTAGTCTGATGTTGCTTGGCACGACAGAGAAAGTCGGTTACTTTGCACTCTAGGATAAAGATGCTTAGAGCAAAATGTAGTAGTGGGATATGAGCGCAACAATCACCTCAAGGAGGTGGGCAGTGGGCGTCTCGAAACTTAGTCACGGCAATTGCAATGCTATAATCCATGAATATCTTTTCCACAGAAGGTGAAAGATAAAGAAAGCCAAGAACAGAAAAAGCTATAGTTTGGTTCGGCCAATTAGCAACGCCCCGGAGGCGCGGAACGTCTTTTTTAAGGCATATGCACATGACCCACTTATCTAGATCCACACTAAACCTAATCTAATTGCTGGGTACCTGTATGTAACAAAGTACTGTGACATACCGTACGGAAATACAAAAATACGAGTATAAACGATATCGTAACCAAATAGGATCCTGCTGCCAACCGGTATATATTGGAAAAATAAAAGGTATAGAATGGAAATATAGGGGTGAGCAGCTACAGGTTTGATATGAAAAATATCACGAAAGCCCTAACTCGAAGACCATAATTAGAAGTCCAAGGCAGGGCAGGAATGCCACGAAATCCAGAGGCATAACGAACCGTCAAGCGAGGCTCTATATCACGATAAACTATAACAGTACTAATAATTTACAAATGTATCCTGGGATAACGCAGCCCTGGCTCCCATTCCTAATACGGAGTCATGCATCGGACACTGCTCTGTATACAGTAACCATCTCATCCCGTCGGGATACGAAACGGGGATCCTTGATCAAATGAATAGACCATCGGTTCATCCGGGACGAGTTCATGAGACGGAGACGGAGATCATAAGAGGTTGAATCGAGCACGGACGGAGTATCTCATAGAGTAGGTGGGTGATGATCGTGCTGGCATTGTAATCTCTGACAGTCTGAGTAACAAAGTCCTTTCTGAGAAAAACTCATTGCAGCAGCTCAGTGCTTACCTTAATCATTCGCTATTGCAGCTATCTGAGATCATCGTCGCATTCTATTTCTTGTTTGCTGCTTGACTTGGCTGAAAGTTAGCTACTAGCTTGTGCTGTTGCTTGCTCCTCACTTTCGTTAATTCTTGCCTTTATATATATATATTTATCTACACCAATAAACACTATTTAATACCCTTTGCTTATTGCTTTCGGTCGCAATTTGCAACCATGTTACAACTCGCCCCCAGTTCCTTCGAGGCAGCATCATGTCTCTTTCCCACCGAAACGCTTGCGCACAACGAGCGCGGCTTCAAATCAATCGCGCTGCCATCGAGTGCCAATGCCAATAGCTCGAAGCCGCTTTCTCGTGATGTCCTCTTGGAGGCATGGACTATCGTTTTGCGATACTATGTTGGCAGTGATATGATTTGCTTCGGATGTATTGATGATGCGAGCGAGCCTAAACACGCTGTGTGTCATGGTGATATACCTGCGCACGCATCGTTGGATGCTCTACATAAATTCACGGCAAAGAGCATGGGAAACTCGGTCCAAGCGCAGTCCGTGAAAGATTGGATTCGATTGAATGACTTGTTTAATACTCTTGTTTGGAGTCAGTCGAGTTCAGACTCAAACCTCGAAGACCTCCAAGATACTCAGGTATTTGCATTCCATAATACTACGTTTGCATGTATACTAATGAATTCAGTGCGCTCTTCCACTTTTACTTTCCGAAGCCCCTACAGGCCTCTAAGCAAACCTAGCCTACGCCTCCCACATCATCGGCGATACCATCGCAAACGCCGTCGCAGAATGCGTTATCCGCGCATCCCAAGCCACCATGGAGACACCAGGAACCATAGTTGGAGACTTGGACCTCCTCGGTCCTTTCTCCTGGTCGCAAATCAGTGAATGGAATGCGACAGTACCCAAGACCTTGAGAGCATGCATGCACGAGCTTATCGACGAAACAGCAAAGCGCTATCCGGATAGAACGGCGCTTCAATGCTCGGATGGCTCTGTATCATATAAGGAATTGGCGGACTATACCTCGCGGCTTGGGAGTTTCTTGATCTTTCAGAATGTCGGGCCAGAAGTACTAGTCCTTGTGTGCTTCGACAAGTCGCTCTGGGCTGTCGTCTCGATGCTGGGTGTGCGAAAGGCCAGTAGCGCATTTGTGTGCATCGACCCAGCGCAACCGATTGATCGGCTGAAAGCGATCATTTGAAGAAACGAATGCACAGGTTGCGCTTTGCGCACCACCATACTGCGATATACTGCTTTCCTCTTCAGTTCCCAACGCCATTCCAGTCGATGCCGATGTAATCCACAAACTCTTGCCTTGTCTGGACCTAACCCGTCGTGCGCTACCTACCAACGCGGCTTTTGGTACATTCACCCCTGGAAGCACGGGCAAACCGAAGGGAATTGTCCATGATCATCGTGTCATGTGCTCGAGCACCAAGGAGCATGCTTCGAGGCTGAATATCAATTGCGACACGCGCACTTTCCAGTTCGCAGCATATACCTTCGTCGTCAATACTTTTGAACTCTTCACACCACTGGTGGAGGGTGGATGTGTCTGCGTACCGTCCAAAGAGGACAGACTTGGCCGCACGACCGGCGCGATGCGTGATCTCAACGCAAACTGGGCCTGCCTCACCCCCTCGTTCCTCCGACCTATCTCGCCAGAGGAAATACCGCAGGTCAAGACTTTCGTCCTGGCTGGTGAGCCAGTCCAGCAAGATAACCTGGATACCTGGCGCAGTCGCGTACGAATGCTGAATATGTACGGCGCCTCGGAAGCCTCCGTCTGCGTGACTGGCGACCTTTCCAACGACCCCGTTGAGCGCTCGACTATCGGGACAGGAGCAGGCGTCGCAGCTTGGGTTGTCGACGCAACGAACGACAGCCAACTTGCGCCTATTGGCACAATCGGAGAGTTGACAGTAGGGGGTCCTGTCCTGGCACGAGGTTATCTGTACCAACCAGAGAAGACCGCTGCAGCTTTTATCTTTGGCAAGCCGTGGCTGAGGAAAATTTGCAATGAGTCGCCATCGCGCGCGTACAAGACCGGTGACCTTGTTCGACTTGGTTCCGATGGCCGCATTAACCTGGTCGGTCGTAAGGACATGCAGATTAAGTTGCGTGGACAGCGAATTGAACTTGAAGAGGTCGAGTTCCATTTGCGGCAGACACTCCCGCATGGGGTTGAAGTTGCGGTTGGTTTGGCGAGGCCCGCGCATCAGCCTAAGAGACCTTTACTTACTGTCTTCATGGCGCCGAGAAAGGCTTTCGGGGATGACTTTTACTCTGCTGACCTGGAATCCGCAGAGGAGCCCAATTCTGCGACAGAGGGCTGGAAGGACCACCTTTCTAAGGTGGTTCCAGGATATATGGTTCCCTCTACCGCTGTGAAGCTGAACCACATGCCCTTGACAGCATTGGGCAAGACAAACCGCAAGGCTATCGGTGACCTTGTCTCTAAGCTCACCGTCCTCGAGCTAACAGGCGCATCGAGCAAAAAGGAACACAAGGAACCCGTAACCACCACGGCTAAAACCCTACGCACTTTATGGGCACAAGCACTGAGCATCACCGACGCGGAAACCATCCCCGCAGACGACGACTTCCTGCAGCTAGGGGGCAGCTCCATCGAAGCCATGAAATTGGTCAACTTAGCCAGAGATCAGAACATCGGGGTCAGTGTCGCGGTTATTTTCACACATCCCCAGATCGACGAAATGGCGCATACATTGCCCACCATACACTATCTCTTGGACGAAACATCAACCTAGCTCGTTTCAAGCAAGCTTGCCAGGAAATAGTCATCGCGCATCCGATCCTCCGAACTCGTTTCATCTACCCTGAAAGAACTGGCACGCTTTAGGCCATGCTGCGAGGTAAGATCGAATGGCAATCAGGCGATAGCATGGACTGTTACATGAAGAATAACAAGCAGCATCCCATGCGAGCTGGGGATGCACTCACTCGCTATAAAATCGTCCCAGACGATAAAAACGACGGTTGGACATTCATCTGGACTGTTCACCATGCCGTCTACGGTGCCTGGACATTAGACCTGCTTTTCGACCGTCTTGGCAAGGCGTACAAGGGCCAGGCCCCAGCGCAGGACCACACGTTCAAGGAATTTATGACGTACGTGGCTAAAACTGATGCTGATGCTAGCCGTCAGTTCTGGACTGAATACCTCTCTGGTGCAACACGTAACGAGTTCCCCTCGACAGTATCCATGTCCAAGCAGCCCGTGGCAGATTCATCTAGTAAATAACATGACTCTCAATACCACCACGGACGAACTATTCGGGATTACTTTGCCCTCAATGCTCCGCGCAGAAGAGAATGTGCCAATCAAAAGCAAAAATCAGCACCCACGAAAAACACGTAATTTTCACGCGTTAATCAACCGATAGGGGCCCTCTGGCACCTATAAACCACCATGGAGGCACAGAGACCCCGTGGTGGTGGTATATCGCACGCGTTGCCCCCCGGAGTGGGCAACGTGGCCTCCCAGCTCACGGGAACGCCAGACATGCCAGGCACCCCAACACCAACCCACCGGCGATCCAGGAATGCGATGCAGCCCATGCTCAGTGATAGCAGTGTGGAGGTTATGAGCATAGATGAA